GCTCATCTTATACTGCTTTCCCAGACCACAGCAGAGAGCTGGATCGGAAGAGGAGCAGCCGGGAGTAGAACCGGTGCACATATGGGATGCCAGCGCCTCAGGCCAGGGCTTTAACCTGCTGTGCCGCAGCACTGGCCCCGAAATCTCCTAAGCACTGCCCTTTAGACTTGTCCAATCTACAATTTTACCGTCAGAGAGTTGAGTGGTTGACAGTTCAGTTATCATTATTATATTCAGCAGATTTTACAGTCTGAAACTTAGATCCTTGTTCACCATAGAATATATCTTCTGACAGTGTGGAAGACCTTTCTGTTTCTCTCTCTCACTGTCCACTCTGCCTGTCAAAAAAAAAAAAAAAAAAAAGAGAAAATATCTTCTGAAAAATGTTCTCTTCTTTGGCTTTTCTTTCTTCTTGGATCTCTATAATTAGATAAATTCTCAGATCTTTTTTTACAAAAGTGACCCCTCTTTCCCACCAGAAAAGACAGGAATTGATGTTGTCCAGTTTATTCTTCTAATATGTGAAAAGTCTTATTTACTTTTGATTTTTAAAAATTTTTAAGGTTTATTTATTTATTTGAAAGACAGAGTTAGCGAGAGGCAGAGTTGGAGAGAGAAAGAGAGTGGTCTTCCATCCGCTGGTTCACTCTCCAAATGACCACAACGGCTGGAGCTGCACTGATCTGAAGCCAGGAGCCAGGAGCATCTTCCAGGTCTCCCACAGGGGTGCAGGGACCCAACGGCTTGGGCCATCTTCTACTGCTTTCCCAGGCCATAGCAGAGAGCTGGATTGGAAGTGGAGCAGCCAGGACTAGAACTGGTGCCCATATGGGATGCCAGCACTGCAAGTGGTGGCTTTACACACCTACAGCGCCTGCCTCTTTTTAATTTTTTTAAGATTTATTTATTTATTTGAAACTTTGATTCTTAGCATGGCTCAGAATTTTACAAGGCCGGCGCCGCGGCTCACTAGGCTAATCCTCCGCCTGCGGCACCGGCACACCAGGTTCTAGTCCTGGTCGGGGTGCTGGATTCTGTCCCGGTTGCCCCTCTTCCAGGCCAGCTCTCTGCTGTGGCCAGGGAGTGCAGTGGAGCATGGCCCAAGTGCTTGGGCCCTGCACCCCATGGGAGACCAGATAAGTACCTGGCTCCTGGCTCCATGGCGGCCATTGGAGGGTGAGCCAACGGCAAAAGGAAAACCTTTCTCTCTGTCTCTCTCTCTCTCTCTCACTGTCCACTCTGCCTGTCAAAAAAATAAAAAACAATAATAAAAAAAATTTTACAATATTTCTTAAATCCAATATTTAAAAATGGGACACCATTTTTACCATGTTAAATTTCTATTATTTTATTATTCACCTATTAATATAAATGTCACTTTTTCATAATTCTTTCATTCCCATGGCTTTGTTTCTTTGAATTTCATATTCACATGCAACTCAATTTCACTTTTTCAATCATTATCACTTCATAATATATTATGCTAGGAAAGATAAGGGTTTTCTTCATGATTCATTCTTTTCAAAGTATTATGATCTCCATCTCAAATATTTAATTACTATTTCCATTAAATGTAGAAGTTCCCTTTCAAGTATCAAAACACAGCTCCCATGTGGATGTCTAGCCTAGGGTCAGCACACCCACGTCCCACATCGGAGTACCCGATTCCAGTCCCTGGCTCTGGATCCCGACGCTGGCTTCCTACCAACACAGATCCTGGAAGGTGCTTGTAATGGCTAAAGTAACTGGGCTCCTGACCCCACACCAGAGAGCTGGAACCAGCACCACTTTGGCCATGTTGAACATTTCTTTTGGGGCCGGCGCCGTGGCTCAATAGGCTAATCCTCCATCTGCGGCGCCGGCACACCGGGTTCTAGTCCCGGTCGGGTCGCTGGATTCTGTCCCGGTTGCCCCTCTTCCAGTCCAGCTCTTTGCTGTCGCCCGGGCTTTGGATCGTCATGGTGTGCTAGCCACAACGCGGTGGCCACTGTGGGATGAACCAACGGAAAAGGAAGACTTTCTCTCTGTGTCTCTCTCTCACTGCTCTCTCTGCATTTTCTTTCTCTTTTTGGTCTACCTCTATATTTTATAGAACCCAGACTAAAGTCCACGTGTGTTCGTGTCTTGTCTAGTTTTCAACACGTTTGCATGTCCCCTACGTTAACGCACCCAGGAGATGAAGACCTGTGTCTCCAGAGTCAGGCTCAAGTTCCACTTCTGGTTTAGCTGCCTACTCGCTTGTCTTGGACTCCAAACGCCTCATGACACACAGCCTTGCTGTGAGCTTTAATGAGAAAATAAGACAACCTAGTAACAAGTACCCAAGGTGTCTGTTTTATGGTGGGAGCTTTTCTTGTGCCGTTCCTTTTTTTACCACTGGACACAGGGCCATCCATGCCACGAAAGCTGGGCAGAGCAGAGAGCCAGTTCTAGACCTCTGGCTGTGAGGGTCTGGTTCCCTGAAACCACTCGTGGTACCAAGAACCGTCTCCCAGCTGCGGCTCAGTCAGGGACATGGAGCCACTGTGGTGTTCCAAGACAAGTGCTTTACTTAGGAGTTTGACTCCTAACTTCGGGAGTTTGACTGCAAAAAAAAAAAAAAAAAAAAAATCTGAAGATTTGGGTTCTGCTTTCAGACTCATCATTCACTTGGCCCTCTAAGCTTTCGGCTCCTCCTACTCCAGACACAGATGGTTGCAGCTTCCCCCGGGGCTGCTGGGAGCATTCATTGGAATGTATATGCCAGAGAACAGCTCGTAAATTCTAAAGTGCTAGAGAAAGTTTACTATTACTGTTAGACCCTCGGAGTGAGGATGCTAACACATCGAGAGGCACACCCCAAAGACTCAGAGTCCAGATGCAAAAGCAAGAGGATTTATTCGGCGTCTGCGCTGACGGGCCTCCTGAACTCGGGAGTCCAGAGAGCGCACCCAGCACAGAGCCACACGGTTTATATACCCGCAGCGACCAATCCGTGAGCTGATCATGTGAAAGGCATGCGCCTTCTGTCCAATCAGTGAGCTGATCATGTGAAAGGCATGCGCCTTCTGTCCAATCAGTGAGCTGATCATGTGAAAGGCATGTGTCCTCTATCCAATCAGTGAGCTGATCATGTGAAAGGCATGAGTCCTCCATCCAATCAGTGAGCTGATCATGTGAAGGGCATGCGTCCTCTATCCAGTCAGCTACGGGATCACATGGGAGGCATGCCCCTCATCGCCATTTTGTTGTTTACTTCTTCAGCAGTTCCTTTCCCTGCCAGCGCCATCTTATTCACCCTGAGTGGGGACGACGTCTCGCTCCCTTTGTTCCCCTTGTGGGAGAGCAGGTCCCGCTTCCCACACCGTTATCTGAGTATTAGGAGGCATACAAAATAGGTTAGGTCTTAGCACAGCCAGGCGCAAGTGTCTCAGCTAGCTAAGCATAGGGTCCCTTATTTTTATAGCTGCACCTAATTTTAGCTTTGGGGAAAAAGTTTAGGGCTATAATTTTTAAACTTTAATTTTATTTGGGGCAAAGGTGACTTCTTATTTTTAATAGCGTTAGCTTAAGTCACTCCATCTTGGTTTGATTTTAAGGTTCTTCATTACCAGTTCCTATGAGACTCTCAGATTAAAAGGTCGATGTCCAGATATCCCCCAAACAAACAAGACACTGCTTCAACTTCTGGGCAGACGCAGCAGGCTCATTAAAGATAACCAAGACCCAGAGGAAGTCGTGTCCTACTGGAGACGCAGCTGCGAGACAGCAGGCGGCTGGACAGTGGTAAGAGGAAAACAGACGGGTACCTGGGGACGAGGCAAGGGCTACTGGGCCAGGCGCGCGGCGCCGAGGTGAGACGCAGCTCGGGGTGCCTCCGTCTTCCATCAGAGGGCCCAGGTTTCAGTCCCAGCTCCACCTTCTAACGTGCACCCTGGGAGACAGGAGGGGACGGCTTGAGTGGATGGGATCCGGCACCCATGGGGGAGGCCCAGATCGGGTTCCTGGTCCCCAACTTCGCCGGTCCGGTCCTAGCTGGCCAGTGCAGGCATCTGGGGAGTATCAGCAATGGGAGTGTCTCCTCTCTCGCGCTCTGTCTTGACTTTTATTCCCTCCTGGTGAGCGAGCTCTTTCTCTGTGCACAGGGCTAATCAATCACCCTAAGCCAGGTTCCACCTGTCCCTCATTGTCAGGTTGGAGCCCACCCCACGCCCACGCCGGGAGGGGAATTGTTCCCCGTCAGAACTCAGTGTCAAACGCCTTTCAGCCACGTTTGAGGAGCGAAGAGGTTTTAGAACGCGCAGTCCTGGGGCTAACTTTGCCACTGTTAAACTTAGCCATCTCTGCTCCCTAGGCCGGAGTCACTATCCCAAAGAGTCAGACCGGCGTTGTCTTTTTGGGAATTGTACTTCTGTAGAATTCTGACAGGCAATGGGCACAAAGCTCAAAAAAGGGGGGGGAGAGATATATTTATATGTATATACACACACACACGCGTGTGTGTATGTGTGTATAATAAAAGTGATAAGAACATCCAAGGTAGCAAGCCGAAAAGCAATAAACAAAGTCATACTCTAAAGGCACGTGATGTGTAGTTTGTTGACTGATTATTTGTATTAAACATAATAATAAAATCTGCTTTTTTTAAGATTTATTTATTTGAAAGTCAGAGTTACACAGAGAGAGAAGGAGAGGCAGAGAGAGAGAGAGATCTTCCACCCACTGGTTCACTCCCCAATTGGCCACAACGCCCAGAGCTGGGCCGGTCCAAAGCCAGGAGCCAGGAGCTTCTTCCAGGTCTCCCACACAGGTGCAGGGGCTCGAGGCGTGGGCCATCTTCTACTGCTTTCACAGGCCATAGCAGAGAGTTGGATTGGAAGTGGAGCAGCCGGGACTTGAGCCAGCACCCATATGGGATGCCGGCACCGCAGGAGGTGGCTTTACCTGCTAGGCCACAGTACTGGCCCCAAGCTGCTTTACATATAATATCCTATTTAGAAAACTCTAACTTAAAAAGCCCATTGAAGGCAGAGGTAGATTTATTTTTAAAGATTTATGTCTTCATTTGAAAGGAAAAGTTACACAAACAGAGGGAGAGAGAGAGGTCTTCCATCCCCTGGTTCACTCCTCAAATGGCCACAGAAGCTGAGGCTGAGCCAGGCTGGAGCCAGGAGCCTGGGACTTCGTCCAGATCTCCCACACGGGTGCAGGGGCCCAAGCACGTGGGCCAACTTCCGCTGCACACAAATGTATCGAGCCAATGTTCTGGAAGTTTCCTCTGTCTGGGACTCAGCAGCCCAGTCTTCCTTGCGCGATGTTTGGATTAAGTTGACACGGTTTGCAGTGAAAATGTCCTGGGTGGAGACAAAAAGAACAGAGGCGAATTGAAGACAGCCGTTGTGGGGGAGACCTGGATTGTCACAAAATGTGGAAGCAGCGGGAGTGGGGGCAGGGAAACCAGGCAGGGCGAGACACCTGGGCTCCTCCCGGCAAAGCTGGGCCAGACCTCTGCAGATTTCCAAAGTCAAGGAGCGTGACTGGCCCCCCGACAGGGGATGGGGCCGGAGCTGGCAGAAGCAGCGCAAACGAGAGAAAGTTCCCGGCCTGGAGGGAAACGGCTCTTCCTGCCCCGGGAAAAGCAGGTGCATCCTGAGGAAGTCACAGGTTTTTACAAAACCGGGGCTCAGCCTGGCGGGTGGGGGTGGGGGTGGGGGTGTGTGTGGCAGGGATCTGTGACACTGGGGGGTGGAGAGCGCGGTGCAGCTTTTCCGGATCCCGCTGGGACCTGACTCGGGAGGTGACAGGTGGGTGCCCAGCCGGGTCCTGTCTGAATCTGGAAAAGCCGCGGGGAGCCCTTCTGTGTGGCTGCTTGTGTTTGCTCACAGTGTGTGGCCTGAGTTCCGGGATGAGCCTGGAGAGAGAGAGAGGGAGAGAGAGAGAGGGAGAGGGAGAGGGAGAGGGGGAGAGAGAGAGAGAGAGAGAATGAATGTCCTCCTTTTGGGGCCTGCGTTGTGGTGCAGCGGATTAAGCCGCCACCCGTGACGCCGGGCATCCTCTATGGGTGCTGGTTCAAGCCCCAGCTGATCCGCGTCCCATCCAGCTCCCTACCAGGAATCGTGGCATAGCAGGTGCCCTCCGTAGGAGTAGCTTTAAACACCGGTCCCTTGTGAGCTCAGGCTGCGGGTGAGGGGCCAGGCAGGCGGGCCTGGGCTCTGCTCAGGTCTGTACAAGGTGCCCACCAGCTGGGCTCCAGGGAGAAGACTGCAAACCTCTGGATATCACCCCAGGGTACTTTGGGAAGCTCATGGCAAATGGAATCCAAAGACATCCATGACAAAAGTTCATGTGAAATGCATGTCATGAAAAAACCAGGCCTGGATTTCAATTTTTTTTTTTTTTTTTTTTTTTTTTTTTTTTTTTTTTTTGCCGCTACAAAAACTCATTTCTTAATGCCGTGTTTTCCTCGAACTTTTTGAAGTCCTCGGGGTCTTGGTAGAGAGGGCTTCTGAGGTCAGCTCTTGTGCTCCGCTACGCACTGCTAGGAGGGTTCCGACCAGCAGAGGGCGCAAGGGCCACAGTCCGGGCGCAGAGCGGCCAAGGCCGTGTCCAGCCTTCCGTGCCCCAGCACCGCTGGGCGCCGGCCGCAGAGCAGCTCCCTCGCCGCCGCCATCGACGGAGAGTCGGCCTTCGGCGCTGGGCTTGTAAAACGTAGACAAAGGAGAGGCAGACCTGCTGGAACGCAGGAGAGCTCTGGGGACTCCAGGCTTTGGTGGAGGCAGGGCAGCAGTTAAGCCGTCATCCCATACTGGAGCTCCAGTTCAAGCCCCAGCAGCTCTGCCTCTGACCAGCTCCCAGCGCACCCACCGGGGAAGGCGACGGAAGATGGCCCAAGTGCTTGGCCCCTGCCACCCACGTGGGAGACCCAGATGGAGTTCCTGGCTCCCGGCTTCTGCCTGACCCAACCGTTGTGGCCGTTTGGGGGAGTGAACCAGAGGAGGGAAGATCCCCTTTCTCTTTTCCTCGCTGACCCTCTGCCTTTCGAATAAATAAAATATAAACATTTGAAAACCAATAAAGAAATTGGATGGAAAGCAGAGGGGCTGAGATGTCGGGGGGACTTGCAGCGTCGGAACAAGAAGCCACTTCCCTGCACGGTGGCAATAGGCAGCGGGGACAGCTCTTCCCCTGGGTTGGGGTCTGTTTCTGCGGTCTCGTCTGTCTGCCGCCGGCTGTGGTCTCCAACCCACGCTGAGGTTTTGCATTGCAGGTCTGGGAGCCCGGTGCCTTCCCAGCAGAGGTCGGTTGCCTTACTTGATTTCTCATTTGTGAAAGCAGATTCGCTAGAAGTAAGCGCTCCGCCCGGGCCAGCAGCAGCAGTGCCCATCTCGGGCCTCGTGAGTTGCTGGAAGGCGCGGCAGCTCTGGCACTTCACGCAAACATCTGCGGAGTGAATGGAAGGATGACACGTGAAGAAAAGGGGTTTGCAAAGTTAGATCTGAGAGCGGAAGAACAGGCGGGCATGCGGGTGCTGTGATGGGCCGTGGCTCCCTCTTCTGACCCGAGAGCTGCACAGAAAGAGGCACCGTGAGCACCGGGAGAGAGCTGCTGTGGTCCTGTCAAACAACGGCCAGCCTGCCTGCACCCCAGCCCCCTTCCTGCTCCTCTCTAGGGTACAACCCTCCTCGGGTTGCTCCCAAGCAGATTCAACAAACTGAAGATGGAAAATATTTGCAAAAAAAGGAAACAATTGTGTGAGTACTGAACATGTGCAGACTTTGTTCCTTGTCATCATTCCCTAAACAATCCAGTGTGACAACCGTTTAGACCCCATTGACATTAACTGAAAGTGATCTAGAGACGATTTAAAATACGCAGGAAGGGGGCCGGCACTGTGGTGTAGCGGGTAAAGCCGACGCCTGCAGTGCCAGCATCCCAGATGGGCGCCAGTTCCAAATAGGATATTATATGTAAAGCAGCTTAGGGCCGGTGCTGTGGTGTGGCGGGTTAAAGCTGCCGCCTGCAGTGCCGGCGTCCCATATGGGTGCCGGTTCGCGTCCCAGCTGCTCCACTTCTAATCCAGCTCTCTGCTGTGGCCTGAGAAGGCACTGGAAGATGGCCCAAGTGCTTGGGCCCCTGCACCCACGTGGGAGACCCGGAAGAAGCTCCTGGCTCCTGGCTTCGGATCAGCACAGCTCCGGCCATTGCAGCCATCTGGGGAGTGAACCAGCGGATGGAAGACTTTCTCTCTCTCTCTCTCTCCCTCCCTCTCTCTCTCTCTCTCTCTCTGCCTCTGCCTCTCTGTAACTCTGTCTTTCAAACAAACAAATAAATCTTAATACTGGTTTCTCAAGCACCGTTTCTGTTTGTCTGCACCCTCCCCCGCCCCGCCTGTGAGTCATGTGGGACGATGCCATCTCCAGCGAGTCATGTGGAAGGATTCCGTCTCCAGACCCCTGCCCGGCTGCTCCCGTCGGGCTGGCTCTCTGAAGCCAGCAGGGCAGCTCCTAATGCAGGAGCTCCTTCAGCAGCCTGCGTGTGGGGTCCACTCCCTCCCTCCCCTTTTACCCCTGTGGGCGAAGAACTATCTTCCAGGGGCTTCCTGAGAGGCAGCGCTTGGGAGGCTTTTTTTTTTTTTTTTTTTTTTTTTTTTTTTTGAGAGAGAGAGAATCTGAGAGAGGTCCATCGGCTGGGTCACTCCCCAAATGCCCACAACATCCAGCGCTGGACCAGGTCTAAACCAGGAGCCCAGAACTCCACCTGTCTCCCACAAGGCGGGCAGGGACCCAAACACTTGCACCATCACCACTGCCTCCCAGGGTGCGCGTGAGCAGGAAACTGGATGGGAACTGGAGTGGGAACTCAGGCCAGATGTTCTGATGTGGGATGCAGGAGCAAAGCACTCGCCCCAGCCGTTTTGTTAAGCTTATCTCACTGTCGGGGCCGGCGCTGTGGCGCAGTGGGTTAAAGCCCCGGACTGCAGTGCCGGCATCCCATAAGGTCGCTGGCTTGAGTCCTGGCTGCTCCACTTCTGATCCAGCTCCCTGCTGATGCACCTGGGTAAGCAGCAGAGAACAATCCAAGTCCTTGGGTCCGTGCACCCACATGGGAGACCCAGAAGAAGCTCCTGGCTCCTGGCTTCAGGTCGGCTCAGCTCCAGCCATTGCAGTCATTTGGGGAGTGAACCAGCGGAAGGAAGACTTCTCTCTCCCTCTCTCTACCTTTCTCTGTAACTCTGTCTTTCAAATAAATAAAAAATAAATCTTTAAAATTAAAAAAAAAAAAGAGAGAGAGAGAGATCGCTTCATTGTCTTCAGTATTCCATGGTTCAGCTTCTGATCCAGTTTCCTGCTAACGTCCACCCTGGGAGGCAGAAGTGCTTGGGCCCCTTCCACTCCTGTGGGACACGGGGTTGAGTCCGGGTTCCTGGCTTGGGCCAGAGAGAGCAAGCGCGCGCTTTGCCCCCGCGGGCCGGGAGTGCAGCAGGGACCCCGCTGTCCCTGTGCCGGCTCAGCCTGGCATCCTCCCAGCTGGTTCCGGGAAGGGTCCAGCCGCCGGGCTGCACATGTCCATCCTCTGGTCCCGGAGTGCGGCTTCTGGCATGTCGGCCATGGCTTTGCTTCAGATCAGCACAGGTAAGCTCTCGGCTTTTCTTGGTCTCCTTGGACTTCCGCTGTGTGCTGGTAGCCCCCCTTCCTGCTTGCATTTGGTCTCTCAGAGAGCCCCAAACACGCCAGAACTGGACCATGCTCTTCTGACGCTGCTCCTAAAACAAAATGTGGCTGGCGCTGTGGCTCACTAGGCTAGTCCTCCGCCTGCGGCACCAGCACACCAGGTTCTAGTCCCGGTCGGGGCGCCGGATTCTGTCCCAGTTGCCCCTCTTCCAGGCCAGCTCTCTGCTGTGGCCAGGGAGTGCAGTGGAGGATGGCCCAAGTCCCTGGGCCCTGCACCCCATGGGAGACCAGGAGAAGCACCTGGCTCCTGCCATCGGATCAGCGCGGTGCACCGGCCGCAGCGCGCCGGCCATTGGAGGGTGAAGCAACGGCAAAAGGAAGACCTTTCTCTCTGTCTCTCTCTCTCACTGTCCACTCTGCCTGTCAAAAAAAAAAAAAAGTTAAAAAAAATGTGCAGCAATTATTTCAGTGATAAAAACATGCGACGTAAAACTTGAACGTCTGGGCGGACACCATGTGCAGCAGGTTAAGCCACCATGTGCGATGCCGCATCCCATAGGAGTCCTGGCTGCCCCACTTCCACACAGCTCCCCGCTGATAATGATCCGTTGCAACTTGTCACTGAATTTATATTTACCTTTATTTATTGATATAACAGCATACATACAGAAAAGTGTGTGAATCTTAAGTGCACAGATTAAAATATAGAATGCTGGGGCCAGTGTTGGGGCTCACCGGGTTAAACTGCTGTTTATAATGCCAGCATCTCATATCAGAGTTCTGGTTCGAGTCCTAGCTGCTCTGCTTCTGATCCAGCTCCCTTCTAATGTGTCTGGGAAGGCAGTGCATGATAGACCAGGTCTTTGGGCCTCTGCCACCCACATAGGACACCCAGAAAGTGTGGCTCCCGGCTTCTGTCTGGTCCAGTTCATCACAGAGTCAGTAGCAAGATCTTGTTCATTAGAAATACGGGAGGAGAGCACACGGCGAGACCTAAATTGTGGCTGCACTTCTGGGACAGGCAGTGTCTCTGCCCAGGGAGAGAGAGAGAGAGAGAGAGAGAGAGAAGGGGGCCCAGCCCATCCTTCCCTCAGGGTCCCACTCCAGAGAGAACTAACCCCCTCCCATGATGCTGGCATCAATCCACCTGTCTCTTGAAGGACCCCCATCTTGAAGTTCTCGGCCACGCGGGGCTGGTCCACGTGCGTCTGTGAACTATGTTGGTCCCCTGGGGGGGGGCCCTCTGAGGGTCACAGGTGTACCTAGACACCTGTCGCCCTCCTCCCGCCCTGTCTGCAGGCCTGCAAGGGATGTGAGCGGCTGCTTCCTGCTAAGACAGGCTCCATTTGACTTTTTTTTTTTTTTTTGACAGGCAGAGTGGACAGTGAGAGAGAGAGAGAGAGAGAAAGGTCTTCCTTTGCCGTTGGTTCACCCTCCAATGGCCGCCGCGGCCGGCGCACCGCGCTGATCCGATGGCAGGAGCCAGGAGCCAGGTGCTTTTCCTGGTCTCCCATGGGGTGCAGGGCCCAAGCACCTGGGCCATCCTCCACTGCACTCCCGGGCCACAGCAGAGAGCTGGCCTGGAAGAGGGGCAACCGGGACAGAATCCGGCGCCCCAACCGGGACTAGAACCCGGTGTGCCGGCGCTGCTAGGCGGAGGATTAGCCTAGTGAGCCGCGGCGCCGGCCCTCCATTTGACTTTTAAAACTTGTCTTAAAAAGTATAACCCTAGGGGCCGGTGCTGTGGCGCAGCAGGTTAACGCCCTGGCCTGAAGCACTGGCATCCCATATGGGCGCCGGTTTGAGACCCAGCTGCTCCACTTCCAATCCAGCTCTCTGCTGTGGTCTCGGAAAGTAGTAGAAGATGGCCCAAGTCCTTGGGCCTCTGCACCCACGTGGGAGACCTGGAAGAGGCTCTTGGCTCCTGGCTCCTGGCTTTGGATCGGCACAGCTCCCTCCGGCCACTGTGGCCAATTGGGGGTGAACCAGCGGATGGAAGACCTCTCTCTCTCTCTGCCTCTCCTCTCTCTGTGTAACTCTGACTTTCAACTAAATCTTTAAAAATATATATATAACCCTAATACATAAAAAGGGAAGAGGGACGAGCCACACTCGGCTAAGGGCTCCTCTCACAAAACCTGGCCGTGGAGCAAGGCGGGACCTTTCCCATTCCTACCTTCTTTGTTCTCTTTGCAAACAAGCATGCATCATCTTCTCATTGGAAGTACTTTCCCAGTAAGAGCTGCGGCAAAATAACCCCGAGCCGAACAGAGCAGGGAAGCAGCCAGCGTTCCAGGATTCTCCCACTCGGTCTGGCTTTGTTTCCCCCGCATCCGGTTTCCAGTGTCTTCTATAACACGGTTGTTGAAACCACAGACCATAGACACTGACTGAAACAGCCCCTGGGGAGCATAAACTAATAGGCGTGAGAGCCCTGGCCACTCCATGAGTGCTGGCCTCTGCGCTGAGCCTTGTCCTTATCTCGTTAGAGTCTCCGCAGGCCCCGGAGGTGTGTAACCACATCCCCCCTGCTGCGCAGACCAGCGCTGTGGGCTCCTCCACTGTAGGCTTGCGCTGGCTACTGTAGGCTCGTGACGTGCCTACGGCTCAGTTCCCACTGTCCAGAGGCGCTGCCGCGATGTGTCTGTCCTGGGCACAGGAGCCAGCCTGAAAACCGTAGCAGTGGATGGAAATTCCCCTCTGTCGAACCTGGGCCACTGAGTGGCGCCTCTCGTGTAGCTGATCTCAGGGACTCATCGGCCAGTCTCCCTCTCTTGGCTTAGTTTCCCAGTGCTGCTTTGATGAGCGAAGGAGAATTTGTTGCTAAAGACGAACGCCCTGCATTGAGGAAGTGGTGCGTTCGCTGCAGACAGTCCCGTGGGGTCCGGACCACAGCCTCCTGAGGTCGGCATCTGTAGACAACACCTTTCTTCTTAATTTTCAATTTTTTTTTTTTTTGACAGGCAGAGTGGACAGTGAGAGAGAGAGACAGAGAGAAAGGTCTTCCTTTACCGTTGGTTCACCCCCCAATGGCCGCCACGGCCGGCGCACCACACTGATCCGAAGGCAGGAGCCAGGTGCTTCTCCTGGTCTCCCAGTGGGTGCAGGGCCCAAGGACTTGGGCCATCGTCCACTGCACTCCCGGGCCAAAGCAGAGAGCTGGACTGGAAGAGGGGCAACCGGGACAGAATCCGGCGCCCCGACCAAGACTAGAACCCGGTGTGCCGGCGCCGCAAGGCGGAGGATTAGCCTATTGAGCCACGGCGCCGGCCCTCTTTTTCTTTTTTTTATTTGTGAAAGGCACAGTGACAGAGAGAGGAAGCAAGAGGCAGAGAAAGAGAGAAACTTCCATCCTCTGGTTTGCTCCCCAAATGCCTGCAACAGCCAGGGCTGGGTCAGGCCGAAGCCAGAATCCAAGAAGACTCCATTGGGTCTCCCATGTGGGTGGCAGGGGCTCCAGCCTGCCTCCCAGAATGCATAGCAGCAACAAGCTAGATTGGTAGTGGAGGAGCTGGGAATCGAACCGGGAACTCCAACACGGGATGCAAGTGTCCCAAGCAGCAACCCAACTCCCGTACCAAACACCCACATCTCTGTGGGGTTTGAGAAACAGGACAGGCCTTCCTTTCCCAGAATATCAGTAGGAATAAAATACATAAATCGAGAAGGCGGAACAGCAAAGTCGGTGCAGAAAAAGAAACTAGGGAGAGGCAAGAAGCCCTTAGGAGGCCAACCTTTTAGTGCTTTGGTTCATAAAATGAAAACAAACAAAAAAGTCACGCCCTGTTTCCCTGCCCCTGGCAAGGTGCTAACACCTGGCCAACTCTGAGCACATCAGCCAGGCAGCCCCAAGCTCAAGGGCAGGAGACGGCCTTGGACCGGGCGTCTGCTGTGAGGGCTGTGGCCCTGTGGGTCCAAGATGCCAGAAAGACAAAGTACAAGTTCACGAGAAGCGGAAGCCGCAGGAGGCCGGCGGGGGGCGGAGGGGCTGTCCCGCTCGCCCTGGTACCGTTACTTGGCACAAACGGATGCATCTGCTCTGTGGAAATGGAACTTAAGGCTGTCACAAAGAATTGAGGCTGGGAAACCCAAGGATCTGGAATGTTCTGAAGGATTTGGGGCTCTCCAGAATGGAGCCTGTGGGAAGGAACTTGGTTCAATTAGACACAGCTGGGGAAGAAACCTTCCGCAGAGAGAGCATGTGGGCGGGATTTAGTAAAAGGTCAGAACTTACCAGAACCAAGTGGGCATACTCAGGGGAAAACCCAGAAGCCACAGTTCATTAGAAACACATACAGTCGGTGCCAGCGCTGTGGTGTAGTGGGTTAAGCCGTCGCCTGCAGTGCTGGCATCCCATATGGATGCCAGTTCGAGACCCGGCTGCTCCACTTCTGATCCAGCTCTCTGCTATGGCCTGGGAAAGCAGTAGAAGATGGCCCAAGTCTTTGGGCCTCTGCACTCGCATGGAAGACCTGGAAGAAGCTCCTGGCTCCTGGCTTCGGATCGGCACAGCTCCGGCCGTTGTGGCCAATTGGGGAGTGAACCAGCAGATGGAAGACCTCTCTCTCTGTCTCTGTCTCTGCTTCTCTCTCTGTGTAACTCTGAATTCCAAATTAATTAATTAATTAAAAAGAAGCACATATGGTCGGGGGCATAGCGGGTTAAGCCACAGCTCGCAACACCGGCATCTCAGAGCAGGGTTCCAGTTCTAGTCCTGGCTGCTCTGCTTCCAACCCAGCTCCCTGCTGACCCACTGGGAAAATGACAGAAGATGGCCAAGCGCTTGGGTCCTGCCACCCATGTGAGAGACCCGGGTTGGAGTCCCAGGCTCCTGGCTTCAGCCCAGCCCAGCACCTGCCATTGCAGCCACTTGCGGAGGGAACCAGTGGATGGAAGATCTCTTCCTCTCTCGGTCACTTTGCCTTTCAAATAAATAAAACAAATCCTAAAAAAAAGGTAGTCAGCCAATCTTCCTGTATCTGGGGTGTGCAAATATATTGCTGTTATTTGCCAGAAGTACATATGCCCACCTGCTGTGGAGGCCCTGCGTAAGAGGAGAAGAGGACCCTCTCCCGGTGCCCACTCCGCGTGTGCAGTCTGTAGCAACGGCCTGGGATTTGGACCAGCCAACGAGCGCCCCCTGCAGGCTTGGAGGGGACTGCAGAGGGCGATCTGGGGACCCTGGGAGCCCCTGCAGAGAAAACCGAGTAGAATGGATGGTTTTGAGGGAACTGATAAAGACAGGAAACACACGGGCATTCCTACCGGGCACTTGGCCACGTCTGCAAGGACATGACGTCCAAATGAGTTTTCTTCTCTCCGCAGCCCTAGTGGGAGGCAGGAACTTTACTCAGAAATCGGCCCTGTGTGCCAGGGCTGAGAGAGGAAAAGTAAAGAGGACGCGGACTACCAGCCCCGTTCTCCCAAGAGAGAGCCTTGGGCCCGCCTGGATAGCTCTTGCAGATGATAACCTTGGGCAAGGAGAGAGGGGCGGATCCCGGCCCGGCGAACGAACGCAGGCGCCGTGACACGAGGGGCAACTTGGCGGCTGGATACCTTCAGGGACGGGACACCCCCTTCCCCCTTCGCCGTGTGGACAGCTGCCCACCCAGCAGCGCCACTGGAGACCCACAGTCATCACAGATGAGCTTTCCTAGCAAGAATGGACCACGTCCTCGGGCCCCTGCCCCCACGCGGGAGGCCCAGAAGCAGCTCCAGGCTCCTGGCCACTGGAGGAGGGAATCCACGGGAGGAAGATCGCTGTCTCCCTGTCTGTCTCTAATTCTTTCAGATTAAAAACAAAACAAAACACACAATTAAAGAAAAGCAGAGGTGAGTGTTTGGCCTGGCACTAAGACACCAGATGGGATGCCGGTGTCCGATCCAGCGCTGGCCACTGCAGGCATAAGTGGAGGGAACCAGTGGATGGGCGTGCAGGCTCCCGAATAAATTTTAAGAAAGAATAAGAAGAAATAAAAGGAAGGGGTTACCCTAGGCTTCAGGGCCATGCTTGTCTCCAGAGGAAAAGGCACGGTGGCTTCGAGGGCACTGGTACCACGCCTGCTCTGGCCCCGGGTGATACCACGCCTGCTCTGGCCCCGGGCGGTGGGGCTCCAGGTCCTTTATAATTATCTATTAAGCTGTACATTTATGCTTCATATCTTTTCTGTATTACCTGCAAACCAAAGAGTTTAAAAAGCCACGAATTACCAAAGTTAAAATACTACTGAATAGTACATTTAAAAGTGGCTAGGATGGTACATTTAACACTATGGGTGTATCTCACCGTTATCTAAAATATCTAAACACAGACGGTGAAATATCGCAAAAACATGCACAGAGAGCGACCCCATGTGGACATCTTGGGAAACGCAGTTTGAGCCGAGGCTCCTTTAACGAAATGCCTGCAGCGAAAGTGTTAGAGATGTTGGGGTACTTGGGGACTTTGGAATACTTGTATATACACAATGAGATATCGTGGGGAGGGGACCCAGATGTAAACATGAATCTCATTCGTGTTTCACAGACACCTTAAACACAATGTTCTTGATCATCTTATGTACAAACTTGGTGACCACGGAGCCAGCAGACTTGTGGTGTCATGTTGGCATTCAAAAGGCTCCAGATCTTGGAGCATTCCAGAGTTTGGATTTCTGGGGTAGGAATGCTCAACCTGTATTGTAAAGATATCCGTTATCGGGGGCCGGCGCTGTGGTGCAGTAGGTTAATCCTCCGCCTGTGGCGCCGGCATCCCATATGGGTGCCAGTTCAAGTCCCGGCTGCTCCTCTTTCAATCTCGCTCTCTGCTATGGCCTGGGAAAGCAGTGGAAGATGCCCCAAGTCCTTGGGCCCCTGAACCCACATGGGAGACCCAGAAGAAGCTCCTGGCTCCTGGCTTCGGAACGGCGCAGCCCTGGCTGTTGTGGCCATCTGGGGAGTGAACCAGCAGATGGAAGACCTCTCTCTCTCTCTCTCTCTCTCTCTCTTTCTGCCTCTCACTGTCTGCAACTCCACCTCTCAAATAATAAATAAAATCTTTAAAAATATCAATTATTGGTTATAGATTCAGAATCAAATTCCCCCTCTAACTGGACAGACTCTGGCACAATCAGAGTGAGAGGAAGGCACCCTTTATCCGATACCAAGACTGACCACAGAGCTAAGATAATTGAGACAATGGACAATAGCCCAGCGCTGGATCAAGGGAGCCCACGCAGGCACTTGGATGGAACCACGCAGGTGAGGCAGCTGTGGCTGGGCAACCCGTGGGACGTGGCTTCTCCATTCGTGATCGCGCTGTCCATTTTAGCAGAAAACCATAAATAACTCAGAGTCCATGGGCAGGAAGAATGGATAAATCAGTGATGATGCATGCCCATGCTGGAATACTATGCAGCAGAAAAAAAAAAAACCAGATCAAATCTGGGACCTGTGTGGTGGCACAGCAACCACGGGGTAAGCCAACGCATGCACCCCAGCGTCCCATACGAGCGCTGGTTCTAGTCCTGGCTGCTCCACTCCTGCTCCAGTTCCCTGCTAACAGCCTGGGAAAGGCATCAAAAGGTGGCCCGGGTGTTGGGGCCCTGTCACCCTTGTGGGAGACCCAGATGGAGTCCCAGGCTCCTGGTTTCAGCCTGGTCCAGCTTTGGCTGTTGCAGCCATCTGGGGAGTGAACCAGTGGATGGAAGACTGGTATCTCTCTCTCTCCCTCCCTCCCTCCTCTAACTCTGCCTTTCAAAAACATAAATATATTTTAAAAAGATAAAAAAAGAATTATGAGTAAAAAAAAGCAAGTCTCAGAAGATAACACAGGGTATATGATTTCATTTCATAAACCTCAAAAGCAAAAAAAAAAAAAAAAAAAAAAAAAAAACGAAACAAAACAAAATAATATTGAGGCCTGTGCCGCGGCTCAATAGGCTAATCCTCCGCCTGCGGTGCCGGCACACCGGGTTCTAGTCCCAGTTGGGGTGCCGGATTCTGTCCCGGTTGCCCCTCTTCCAGGCCAGATCTCTGCTATGGCCAGGGAGTGCAGTGGAGGATGGCCCAAATGCTTGGGCCCTGCACCCCATGGGAGACCAGGAGAAGCACCTGGCTCCTTGCTTCAGATCAGCGCGGTGCGTCCGCTGTGGCGGCCATTGGAGGGTGAACCAACAGCAAAGGAGGACCTTTCTCTCTGTCTCTCTCTCTCACTGTCCACTCTGCCTGTCAAAAATAAAATAAAACCTTTAAAAAAAAAAACAAAATAATATTGTTTAGGGATGCACACCAATGCGATAAAAAGTATTAAAAGGGGAAAAAAAGAAAAAAATTAAAAAAAGAAAAAGCAAACAAACAAAAAACATATAAGGGAAAAGTTGTCAAGAGGAGGGTGACGGAGACTTCGGGGAGCGGAGGCAGTGGGGGCTGGCGAGGGCCCAGAGGCAGGCCCGGGGCTCCTACCGGGGCTGGGGTTCCCGGGGCTCACTCTGCTGTTAGACATCATAGCTGATCTAGGCACTCTTCAGTGTGTGTCAACCCTCACACGAGTGTGACAAACATGGAGGAGCAAGGGACAGTGCCCGCCCTCAGCCGAGGGCCACGCTGGCTTCCACAGACCAGGCACTGCCTCCCTGGTCAGGGCTGCCGAGAACAAGGTGGGAAGATGAGGACCGGAACCGGGCCACCTGGGGGTGATCTCCGAACTTGGAGGAGCCGTTCTGGGCAGACAGGGCCGCCTTGGGCAGGGCACCGCGGGAGAAGCCCTCATCTCCACTGGGCAGTCCAGGGGGGCAGGAGGGGTGGCTCTGCAGCCTCCTGCTGGCCGCACACCTCATCCCCACCCTCGCTGTCCCTTCTCCCAGGAGCAGCTGGCCAGAGGGTAACACGACTCCAGCCACGCATGCGCCCCGGCCTGAAGGTCAGGACGCCACGGGGCAAGGCAGGGCCTGGTCTCCATGCTTACCGCAGTGGAAGCCGTTAAGGTAGGGCTGTCGGGGCCCCAGGGGGCCTGGCTCCCAAGCTCAGGGTCACCCCCACACCACAGGGACTCTCCCCAGGTCTCCCAGGCCCTGCTTCCTTAGCCTCCAGGCAGCTGGGTACCAAGAAGCCCTTGCTGTTCTAACAAAGGACAGACAGATGGGCTCTGGCTGGGCCTCCCCGGACCCAAGTGGTCACCAACACCACTTCCACAGCCACCAGAGCTGGCCTGGCTTCCTTACAGGCCGAGGAGGTGGCGATGGTGGCGGCAGCAGGCACCCTCCCTTTGTCTTGGGAGCAGCAGGTGCCCAGCACACAGGGAAGCCAATCCGGGACTCTGCCTGTCTGCGAGCCTGAGCAGCCTCCCGCAGGCCTGCGTGTGGAGGGCACGCTGGGCTTGGGTGGGGGTATACAGAATGCCCAGGGCACCACGAGCCCAGGGATAGCAGCAGCCAGGGAGTGAGCGCTTACTGTGTGCAGGTCCCGGGCTGGGCCTGCCCAGCCATCCAAGGATGCTGTACCGGGATCTGCAGTTACCAGGAGGGTGCTGGCGGAAGGGGGCCTCCGCTCGGACCTCGCTCCCTCCCACACCGTGCTTATCACCAGCGAGCTGACGGGACTTGGACGAGGGCCTCTTACCTTCGCCTTTCTCCCCCAGCGTCCACACCACTATGGCCGAGCCCCTCCCTAAGGCCGAGCTCCTGCCCCCGCTGCCCTGGGAGCCCCCAGGGGACCAGAGCAGCATCCGGGACCCACCTGTCGTCCCTGCAGAGCGGCAGCCACAGGATGGCGCGACCATCAGCCTGGACCCTGGGCCCTGGAGGTTCCTGGAGGTGCCCTCCATACACGTCACGCCATCCAGTGACGGGGAGTCGCCCCCCTGCACGCCGGCCCCGCGACGCTCGGGGCGGCTGAGCAGCTCGGACCTGGACAGCCTGTCCCAGGACAGGTGAGACCAGGGCAGGGGGGCGGGAGAGGCGGGGGTCTCTGGGAGCTCAGACTCCTGGATGGGCTCTCCGTGTCCAGGCGAGCCGGCTGCAGGTTGGATATCGTGTGGCCTCACCCCACGGGGGCCTGAGTGGCAGCACAGCAAACCAGCAGCGAGGAGAGAGTGCGTGGGTAGCGGTGACCATGAGTCAGCCTTTGGCCCGCTCACTGCGGGTCAGGACCCCGCGCAAGGAGCGCTTGGTCTCCAAACTGAAATAGGACAGAGTTGAAAACAGCAGCCCGGGCAAGGCATGGCGGGGCCGTGCGGTTTCCTGCAAGCAACACGGCGTGACGTACATGTTGAAGTGTGGGCTGGGATAAAAAGCATTTCCTGCCGTAGCTCACAGGCAAGCAAAACACAACACGGCCTCTGGCCCAGGCAGACAGGAACTGGGTCGTTCGGGGCCACAGGCCCAACGAGGACAGAACGAGAAGCAGCCGGGGTGGTGGGCTCCAGCAGCAGCGGACGCCCTAGGACTAGAGTTTGAGCTCCAGAACCTCAGACCCCGTGGTGACCGAGAAAAGCGAGCTGCAGAATCATCCAGCAGGAGTCTGGTGGCAGATCTTTCTGAAAGACCTGTGAGGTGGGCTGCAGGGCTGGCAGGTGCATCCTGGAGTTAGCACACGAACCCAAGAGCCCACGGTAAAGCTACACAGGGACAGCAAGGGGGTTGGAGCATGGAGAAAAGGGGCCGTGGGCTGTGGCTCTGATGGTTTCTGTCTTTACAAAAGAGATATATCTGCCTCTGCCCCTCCCCCCTCCCACATCCTGGTCCTCGCGTGTGAAATTGATACGCCCTGCTCGGAAATGTCAAGGTATCTCAAAAGCAGACACAGGCAAGGGGAAATACAAAGGGAGCCGGGGACAGAGGAGGAGCTGGGGGAAGGCCGGCCGGAGCCTGAGGGTAGATGCAGGTGGGGAACAGGCTGTGGGGGCGGGAGGGGAGCAGTAGACCGGGGAGAGGAAGGAGGCCCGCCCCGGCCAGGGGGAGTCCAGCGAGGCTGGGGGCCGGGTAGAGTTTAGATTCTGCAGGTGTGGGGGGAAGAGAAAGGTGGGGGACAGACACGTGGGCCCGCCACCCTCCAGGGCGCGATGGGAATGGGGCAGCCTACCTAGGAGCTATGAGGTGGGCCTCACGACCCCAGGGGCCGGGCAAGGAGCCAGTGGCTCCCACAAGTGGCCACGACCCATGTGCCTGGGCTCGCACAAGTGGCCACGGGCCCCGGCCACCGAGCAGGGGGGCGGCACCCAACTGCGTAGCCACCAGGCCCCAGGCCACCCAGCAGGCCCCTTCCCACCCGCGAGCACGGCCCTGCGCGGTGGCCCGGGGAGACTGGCACAGACAAGAGCCAAGGGGGTGCTGGATTCTGACGCCGTCTGGCTGCCAGGGCTGGACGTTCCAGGCCTCGGGATCCTCTAGGGCCCGGCACCCCCAAATCCCTTCCCGCCAGCTCCGGGCGCCCCAACGCCTGGGGTCAGTCCCCGCCGCCGCCAACCTCGCGGGGGTCTCCTGGAGGGCCCGGGAGCCTGGTGCGCGCCGGCTCCGCGTCTCCGGCGCCTGCTCGGCCCGCAGCCCGGCGGTCGGCGTCTAGGCCGCGGCCGCCCTGGGCGCGCTGCTGCGGGCGGGGGCGGCGCCGTGACGCGCGGGGCGGGGAGAGGAAGGGGAGTCGCTGACGCCGCGGCGGCCTCCGCGGCTCCGGCCTTTTGTGCGGCCGGCGGGGTCGGGTGGGGGCGGCGGCCGCGGAAGGCGAGGCCGGTGCCCTGCGGGGACGCCCAGCGCAGCCCAGCCCCGCGCAGCCGGGCCCTGCCCTGCCCTGCCCTGCCCTGCCCTGCGGCCGGGGCGCCGCCGCGCCGCATCCATGTTCGAGTAAGAACCGGGGCCGCCGGCGTCGGGGGGCTGAGGGCCGGGCGCCGGGGAGGGGGCGCCTGCGCGGCTGCGGGGCGGCGCGGCCGAGCTGGGTCCAGCGCTGGCGCACGTGGGCCTAGGTCTGGGCTGCCGGCGCGGGGCACCTGGGGTGCAACCCCCGAGGGGCGACTCCGAGGGGGTCGCCTTTGCGGGCCCGCGAGGCGCTGGGTGGCGGTGGCGGGGGTCTGGCTGGCTGGGCCGGGCTGGGGGCTCCTCTTGCGGGCAGCGCCGCCTGCGGGGAGGGCGCGCAGGCACTGCTGGCCTCTGCCTGGGAGGCCGGCCCGGGATGCGGGGAAGTCGGCGAGCACCCCGCCGGCTGGGCCCTCTCCCGCCGGCCTGGTGGGTCTGGGCTGCGGGGGGCGGGGCTCCTGCGTGGCCCAAGGGCCGCGTGCCCGAGTGCGTTTCCAGCTGGACGTGTGTGTCCCTGTGTACAGTAGTGCGGGTCCGTGCGCGTGTGCAGGCCCCCTCTGCTGCCTTCCGCGGCTCTGCCACCCTCAGCGAGTGTCTGATCGTGCCCCCCACCCTCTGGGGTTGTGTGCCTGTGTCTCCTGTATCTCCCTGCGTGTGTGGCTGGTTCCATGTGGGGGTGTGTAGCGGCTGTGGCCCTCGGTGACTGTGTGTGTGTGTGTGTGTGTGTGTGCACGCACGCGGTCACCTCCAGTTCCGCCTGTGGCTCCGGGTGTAAGTTACCAGTCCGTGTCCAGCTGTGACTTTGCGGTGTGTCCGGGTGTGCGCCTGTAATTGGTTTTTGAAACTCTAGGTTAGCCTCGTGTGCAAACGTTGAGTTATCTGTGTGTGTCCCAGGCGCCGTGTGTGTGTGTGTGTGGCTCTGGCTCCCGGGGTTTCCATTTCTGTGTGTATCCCTTGTGAGGCTGCCGGGTGTGGGCCGCCGCGAGACCCTCTGCCACTTTCTTTGTGTGTGAGAGAGAGGCCCCTCGTGGCTGTGAGCCTGCCCCCCCCCACAACCTGCCCGGTGCTTGGGTGCTTGACTGTGGAGGCCGCAGTAATTACTGACCTTTGGCCCCGGGGAGGGCTTGTAATGATGTCGGTGCTCGGTTCCGGTCCGTTACCTGGCCGCTGTGCCTTCCAGGTGTGTGCACAGCTCCCTGGTGCTCCGAGCCCTTCACGGCTGGGTGGCAGGGTTCCCACCGCCTCCCTGCCGCTGCAGCACTGGCTCCTGCTTTGTCTTCCGCACCAGATGGTGGACCCCAAGGGGGCAGAGGGACCCTGGGCATGTGTGGGCTGACCTGGTCGCTGGCGCCCTCCCCTGCCCCCACGGGGGGGGGGGCGGCTGTGTTTTCTGTGTGTGCCTCCCTTTGTGTCTGTGAGTTGCCTGCCATTGTCCGCTGAGACTGGGGTGGGCCCGTGTGTGCGTGCATTTTATCTGGGGTTCTCTGGGCTTCTGTGACCCTCAGGAGCTGTGTGTGTGTGTGTGTCTGTCTGTCTGTCTGTCTGCTCCGAGGCAGCTGTGGGTGAAGGGCCAGGAAGGGGGGGTCTGCAGTGCAAGAACCCCATCTCTTACTGAGTCCCCACCCCCCATAACGGTTCTGCAGCCACTTGGGCTCCTCCCCTCACTGGGCTGCAGCCGGCTGGTAGGTCCGGCAGCCCCAGGGCCTAGAGCACTTCCCCTTTGTCCTGCAAGAACCAGGGGTGCGAGCCCTGCCCTGTCCCTGGGCTTGACCCTGGCTTCAGGCTTCCTGCTGCAGACTGTGGCTTCAGACGAGCTGGGCAGGTGTGTGGGAGGCCAGGGAGGCTGCAGTGCACCCCTGCTTGGGCCCCGAGTGAAGCCCACACTCCTCTGCCCTGCGCTCCTCCTGCAGCCCCCACAGCCACCTTGCTCCTCTTCAGCCCTGCCAGGCCCGGCCCTGCCCTGAACTTGATGTTCCTGCCCCAGAACGGACTTCTCCCACTCTGCCAGAGCTGTCCTTTGTCCCCAGAGCTCAGCCCAGGCGAGCCTTGCCCAGCGAGGCCCTGGCTGACTCTGACTTCAGCAGCTACGTCCATCCTTTATCTCTGTGGTCCCCAAACTGGCGCGGGCATCAGGTTCTGACCCGGGCCATGGGGGGCGGGGTGGGTCCCCGAACGTGCAGTAGGAGCAGCTTCCTCCTGCGGCTGCTGCTGGCCGAGTGGCGCTGCTTTGCTGCGCCGGCCGCTGTCTGTGGTCAGCACCCTCATTTCCGGGTTTCCTTCCCGGCTGTCTGTGTCTGCCACCCTGCAGGCGGGGGACTGCACCCATGGTGCTTGCTGCTGCGTCCCCAGGGCCAGGGCCTGGGCCTTTAGACAGTACACGACTGGAGTTAGGGGGCAGGCAGTACACGGAGGCTGATCATGGCTGCTGAGGTCGCTTGGGGCCCGGGAAGGCTCGGCATGGTAGCTGGCTCCGCATGGCTGGGAAGGTGGCCCGGCCACTTGCCCGGTCATCACTTCTGTCCACCCATCCCTGCAGGGCACCTGCTAGGCCCCGAGCTTCGGGTCTCTCACCTCCCTTTCCCCTCCGAGCAACCCCGCGAGCTGGGTACCGTTAGTAGTCCCATTGCACACACGAGGAAACTGAGGCACGAGCCCGTCCAAATACTGGGCCAAGGTCACACCGGGAGGAAGTGACAACGTGGAGCCTGGAAGCCGGCCAGGCCCCTGGGGCCCAGGCCCCTTGCTGCTGCCCCCTCCAGAGCTGCTAGTGCCAGGCCGCAAGGTGCACACCTCGGGGAGCACAAGCTCTGGGCGGGGCCGGGAGGAAGTCTGTCATTCCTTCTCATCTCAGCAGCAGATGCCGGCCCCATGCTAGGTGCTGGGGCCACTCCCCGCAGGGAGAACCAAGGGGGTACAGAGGGGCCCAGGGGAGCCCGCAGAGAAGGAGGAAGGGGCGAGTGGGTGCTGGGGGAGTCCCCTCTGAGACCTGGAGGCCTAAGGGAGCCCCGTGGACATGTGGGAGGGAGAGCATTGGGGGCGGAGGGGACACTCAGGACAAGAGCCAGAGCAGAGGGTGTGCTGGAGAAGGACTAGCCCTGCCTCGACTTTTTTATTTTATTGGAGGGAGGTGCGGCCATGGAGGGCAGAGCCTGGCTGCAGGTGGCGAGCAGGCAGTGGGGGCAGGGAGGAAGCTGAGCCGCTGTGGTGGCTCCTGGGAGTAGCAGCGGCTCCCGCCATCATTGGTTCAGTTTTTGCCTTCATTTATTTGGTTCTGCAAGTTGGTTTTCTAAGTAAGCAAGTACTTTGCAAAAGTTCTTGGGAAAATGGAATTGAAGGGATGCATTTATTTTTGCTTAAAAATGTTGCCATGTACACATCATCTGCATTTTTCATAAACTTTTTGAAGACTCCCTCGCAATCATGGATTTGAAAGGTTTTTTTGCACCAAAATAAACTTATCTTTCAATTCCATTTTCCAAGAGCTTTTTTTTTTTGAAGTACCCTCATGTTAGGCAAAGGAGCTGCACTGTGTCCAGAGCAGGGCAGGGCACAGGGCGGTGACCACGACGACACCAAGGCTTGCCAGCTGGGAGCCCACAGACGTGTGCACGAAGCGGACCCGTTGTGAACCAGAGGCAGCCAGAGTCACCAGGGCTGGCATGTGTGTGCTGTCGGGGGGCCACGGAGAAGGGAGGGGCCGTGGGAGCAAGAGTCTTGAAGAACGTGGAAGAATCTGCAAGGCAAAGAAGAAGAGAAGATGGCGTGGGCCTAGGAATGGCCGATGCTGAGGCTTGGAGGCGAGAGAGACCAGCTCAGGGCGCCCTGAGTGGCTGGGGGAGTCCCACCCGCACCCCAGGGTGGATGTGGGGCCCGGCACTGGGATTCCGCCCTGCAGTAAGCCGGCCACGCGTCCTCTAGCGACTGGTTCCTGGTTCAGCTTCCTCCTCCATGGCGGCAGGGACGATAGCATCGAGTGCGCAGGGGTGTTTGCAGAACAATAAAATTAATCATACACAGTTCCTGATAAGGAGTCAACACTGGCTGTCCCTCCAAAGCTTCCGCCAGCTGGCCCGCGGCCCTGATTGCACTTGGTGTTTGTACACTCACCGGAGTGTTCTGTTTGTTCAGCTCGCCAGGGGCAGGAGCCTCTGCTCGGGCTCACTTGCGTCACTGACGTTTAATTGTGCACCTGCCACGTGCCGCCTGCAACCCGGGGTGCTGGGGACACAGTGGCCACCAAGACCTCCTGTAGCGCTTGGTCTGAGGCAGGAAATAAGCAGAGTGAATAAGCTGACAGGACGAGTTCACAGAGTGTGGGGTGTGACCAGGAGGGAGGAGCGTTGGAAGTGAATAAGAGCCGCTTATGCCGGGGCGTGGGTGGACGTTCCGCAAATGCAGAGCCCTTGGCCTGGGATGGAAGCTGGGGAGGCTCCATGTCCAGCAGGGACGGCTGGAGTGGAGTGGAGGGGGCAGGGCATGGCGTTGGGGGTGGGGGGGGGTCCCAGTCCTAGGACATCCATTAGCTTTTAGCTGGAGCAAGGTGCAGTCCAGGACAGAGCTCTGGGCCTGGAGGACCTGACCCAACTCAGGCTCCCCTCGGGCTGCAGGTGGGAAGCAGCCGGGGGGGGGGGGGGGACAGGAGCAGGGAGGAGGGGCCAGGTGGGAGGGGACGGAGCTGGGGCGGGAAGAAGTGGGCTTAATAAGAGTAATGGGAATAGATCTCGAAGTTGATGGGATTAGGTTGGAAACGAGAAGTGGGAAAAGAAACAACAGAGAAGCTGAGGTTTTTTGTTTTTTTTTTTTAATTTCTCGGACAACTAAGTGGGAAGCTGCTACTCAGTGCGTGTTCATGGTGTGAGTGATGGAATGAGCTCATAAACCGCGGCGGGTATCACGGAGCCTCGCTGCATGCCAGGCCCTACCAGAAGGACTCCCCAAGGGTTGATTCGTTTAACCCTGAAAACAACTAGCTGAGGCCCCGTGTTCGCCATCCCTGGGTTACAGATGAGGTGACCAAGGCGCAGAGCCCTTTGGACACGTACTGTGGGTTCCACTGCTGGGCTGGGACGCAGAGTGGGTGGCTGGGCAGGTGGACGGGGTGTGTGGGTGGATGATGGGTAGAGATGGGTGAGCCGGTGTTGGCTGGGACGGGTGGGTAGGGTGGATGGGATGAGTGGCCAGAGGCATGTGTGAGTGGATGGACAGACGGACAGATGAGGATCGACGGGCCGATAGGTGGGCCTTGAGAAATGGTCCTGACCCAGACCTCAGCCTGTTTTCCCCTATAACAGCCCCCATCCTCTCCCTGCCCCCAGCACCACCCCCCACTCAGGCCGGAGCACCCCAAGCAGTTCTCCATCTCTGCGGAAGCGCCTGCAGCTCCTGCCCCCGAGTCGGCCGCCGCCCGAGCCCGAAGCAGGCACCATGGTGGAGAAGGGGTCGGACAGCTCCTCGGAGAAGGGCGGAGTGCCCGGGACCCCCAGCACCCAGAGCCTGGGCAGCCGGAACTTCATCCGCAACAGCAAGGTGGGGGCCTGCGCGCCCGGGGCTGGGAGGACTGGCGGCCCGGTCAGGCACTCATCCCGCCTCTCGTTCTGTCTCTTGTAGAAGATGCAGAGCTGGTACAGTGTAAGTGTTGGGCGAGGGGGCGCGCTGGGGGCTGGGGGAGAGACCGGGACAGGTGCGGGCCGAGCTGAGATGAGCAGACCTGGGGTCCCGTCCTGTCCTGTGCTGCTGTCGGGTGCTGCGTGAGCCCCTTCTTTGTCCCCACCTGGTGAGGCTGAAGGGGCAGCAATGCTGCGGGCTGGACGCTGAGCCGCCGGGGCGGGGCTTGTGGGGGCGGGGCTGCAGTGCGCCCCGCCCCCCATGCATGCCCTCCCCGCAGATGCTGAGCCCCACCTACAAGCAGCGCAACGAGGACTTCCGGAAACTGTTCAGCAAGCTGCCGGAGGCCGAGCGCCTCATCGTGGGTGAGGCCGGCGCCCCAGGCCCACCCGCGGCCCCCCGCTCCCCTGCGCTGCTGCCCGCTGACTCGGGTGTCCCATGTCTGTCCCCTCGCTCTCAGATTACTCCTGCGCCCTGCAGCGCGAGATCCTCCTCCAGGGCCGCCTCTATCTCTCTGAGAACTGGATCTGCTTCTACAGCAACATCTTCCGCTGGGAGACCACGGTGCGGGGCGGCGCGGGTGTGGCGGGGCGGCGCGGGTGTGGCGGGGTGGACCGGGCTCCGGCCGCTCTGACCTCTCCCTGCGCCCATAGATTTCCATCCAGCTGAAGGAGGTGACGTGTCTGAAGAAGGAGAAGACGGCCAAGCTGATCCCCAACGCCATCCAGATCTGTACGGAGAGCGAGAAGGTGGGCTGGAGGGGCCCGCACTGACCCCGCCTCCTCCCTCCCGGGGGCCCGCCCTGGGCTGCTCTTGGGGCTGTCACCTGCTCTGTGTCTCGGCTTTGCCAGACTCTGCTCGGGACGGACACCGATCAGATTCTCCTGGTGTCCGGGTCCTGATTCCCCGTCCCTCACGACCCCCCCCCCCCAATCCCGGGATGCTGATTGGTGGTCACAGGATGGCCAAGTCACCCCTGAGGAAGGGGCAGGGCAGTGGGGAGCAGGACTTCTCAGCACATGTCTCTTTGTGTATCACTGGCTGGGCGTGGATCAGCGGGTCACCTCCAGGACAGGGCCCAGGGCTCCCCGCATCGCAGCCCCACCCACCACAGGCTGACCCTGCCTGGGACTGTCCACAGTGTCACCACGGCGACCCCGGCCGGCGTCCCTCTGCTCAGGGCTGGCACGGGATCCGCGTGGTGCAGAATGAATGCAGGGAGGAGTGAACAGAGGGGTCAGGTAGCTGGGGGCCGAGGACGGAGCTGCCGGCCCATGCCCCTCTCTCCCCTACAGCATTTCTTCACCTCCTTTGGGGCCCGGGACCGCTGCTTCCTCCTCATCTTCCGCCTCTGGCAGAACGCGCTTCTGGAAAAGGTAGCCTTGGGTGAGGCCTGGGCTGGGGCGAGGAGTGGCCCCCCGGGGCCCCCGGCTCTTTGTGGGCACCAGGTCCTGTGCACCTGCAGCTTCCTACATAGCCGCCACCAGGGGGCAGGCAAGGGTTCCCGCCCCAGACCCCTGAGCAGAGTCCGTGGCAGAGAATTGGTGTGAACCCCGGCGCTGGGGCAAGGGTTCCCCCCCCCCCCCAGGTGGAAACAGGGAGGAAGGACGTCATTGCACGGGTCTGCCACCGCCGGCCATGGCTCCGCTCCTCCAGCTGTACCATGCTGCCCCGTGTCCTGCCATGTCGGGGCTCTTATCCCTAGGGGTAGCTCCAGCCATGGCTGTTCCCAGGAGCAAAAATGCCGGAGGACCCCATTCAGGAGCCTGAGAGAGGGACAGTGCAGGAGGTCAGGCCCCAGACACAAGGCCTGGAGGGGGCTTCCTAGCAGATGGGTAGCGAGGGGGCACTGGATCTGGCGCTAGAAGTCATGCTCAGGCTGCCCCCTGGTGGTAGCCAGAGGAACTGCTGCCGCTCAGGGATGGTGGGGCACCTGCTGGAGTGAGGCCAACCCTACTCCCTGCGTGCCCAGACGCTGAGTCCCCGCGAGCTCTGGCACCTGGTGCATCAGTGCTACGGCTCGGAGCTGGGCCTCACCAGCGAGGACGAGGACTACGTCTGCCCCTTGCAGCTGAACGGTCTCGGGTGAGTCAGAGGCTGGGGGTCGGGGGAGAGCCGGAGGGGCTGCCTGCAGTGCTGGGTGGACTGAGGTGGGTGTCCAAGGTCTGGGAGACCCTGGAAGGTGGGGGGGGGGGTCGCAAGCATCCAGCAGGGCTTCCACGTCCTTTCTACAGCAGCCCCAAGGAGGTGGGAGATGTGATTGCCCTGAGCGACATCGCCCCGACCACAGGGGCTGCTGACCGCAGCCAGGAACCAAGCCCTGTGGGTTCGCGCCGAGGCCGCGTCACCCCCAACCTTTCCCACGCCAGCAGCGATGCCGATCATGGGGTGAGCAGAGAGGATGCTGGGGCCAGAGTGGGAGACAGGGACAGACAGAAGGTTGTGAGCAGGAGGGGAGGTGGGCGGGGGGGCAGGGAGTGGGCTGGGGGGTGAGGAGGGTGGGGGTGGAGGAACAGGTCAGAGATGGGCCGAGTGAAGAAGCAAAAGGGGCAGGAGGTGGGGCGATGGATGCGGTACGCACAGGACAGACAGCCAGGGCAGGCAAGAAAGCCTCACGTGCAAGTATCTAAAATGAGAGGCGAGGTAGGGACCAAGGGGAGCCCTCACCCGGTGGGCTCAGCTGTGAGTCCCTGCCCGGGGAGGCACAGGGCCCTCGGCCGGGACGCAGGTGGGCAAGGCTGGACGAGGCCTCTCTCTGCAGGCAGAGGAGGACAAGGAAGAGCCGACGGACAGCCAGCCAGACGCCCCGTCCAGCCAGACTGCCACTCCGCTGGCGGAACCCCCGAGCACAGAGCCCACCCCGCCCAACGGGCCTGCCTCCCTGGGCCCCTTGGACCTGCTGCCCAGTGAGGAGCTCCTGACGGACACCAGTAACTCCTCCTCATCCACCGGGGAGGAAGGTGAGGCTGCTTCCATTACCGGCGACGTCGCTCACACCGGTGACGTCGCTCCCTCCGCCGGCTCAGGAGGCTGAAACCCCAAGGGCTGGGGCGCGGGAGTGGGGTGGAGGGGCGGACTTGTCCAACCCCAGCCACCCAGGTGGAAGTCTGTCAAACTGTCAGGCACACAGCTGCCAGGGTGAATAAGACGTAGACCTGGGAGTGCAGGGGCCTGGGTTCAAATCCCGGTCTCCTCTCTGGTCCTTGTCTTCCTCATTGAAAAATGATGTTAGCCGTGACGATGGGGTTGTCGCGTTGCCACGTGTAAATGGGTGCTGCACCTGTGTCAGGCTGAGAGGCCACAGCCTGGCCCCAGGCACACCTAGCACCGACCCAGCAAGCTTCTCCCAGTGCCTGCGGCAGCCGCCCCGGGCTTGGCTCCTATTGGTCCGACTTGGAGAATGAGCCAATCAGTGCCTGAGAGCCGCAAAGGCGCTCACGCCCACCCCGTCATCACCGCGACTCCCATTGGCTGGGCCTGGGGGTGTGTGCTGCTCCCAGAGCCGGGCCGTGGCGCCGGTGGCTGGGCCCTGGCGGGTGGCGGGGAGCCGGGTCTGCCCCTCCACCGCCAACGCCCGTCCCTTGCTGGCCCCCAGCCGACCTGGCCGCCCTGCTGCCCGACCTCTCGGGCCGGCTCCTCATCAACTCCGTCTTCCACGTGGGTGCTGAGCGGCTGCAGCAGATGCTGTTCTCAGACTCGCGCTTTCTCCAGGGCTTCCTGCAGCAGTGCAAGTTCACAGGTCAGGGGGCGGGGCCTGGCAGAGGGGCCCGGGGCACTGCTGAGGGGCGTGGGCACTGCTGCGCGGTGTGGCGCTGCCTCCTCCCTGCTGGGAGGGTGGGGTTCCGAGCTTGCTTCAGTGACGGGGCCCATGGTGACGGTCCTGCTGGGCAACAGGAGGGGGTGTGCAGAGGAGCAGCAGGCGTGCAAAGGCCCTGGGGCTGGAGGCAGACGCTGGAGAGGCCCCTTGGGGCCAGCCCTGTAGCGTGCTGTGGGTGAGGCTGCAGCCCTGGTGCGGAAGCAGCAGAGGGACCAATTGGAAAAGCAAGAGTGCTTGGTGTCCTGGAAGCCATAGAATATTCTAGAAAGAAAAGGCTTAGGGTCAGGCTTCACCAAGCTACTTCTGAACCAGATGTGGAGACCAAGGCCAGGCACCCCGGGGCGGGGGTGGGGGTGGGGGGCGCTCAGGAGAGCTGGGAGCAGCCGACAGCAGGGGAGGTAGGGCCAGGGCTCCAGTGGGGCCATCCCTGGGAGAGGGTCTCAGAGGGGCAGGTCTAGGGAGATAGCAATGCGCATGTGGGGCCGGGAAGCGAGGGGAAGCTGGGGGCTTCCAGGTAAAGTGTGTAGGGGGGTGGCAGGTCCCTGGGTCAGGTGCTCAGGAGCGGAGCCAGGACTGGTCCCAAGGGGGGAAACTGAGGCTGCATCTCAGGTTTCAGGCTCCTGGCAGGCAGGTGGTGCAGAGGGCAAGGCGGGACCAGAGGTGGGGTCTGGGACGCACGCCCCAGAGAGTGGAAACCGCAGCACGCGGGCACAGCACTGGGGAACGGCCACCTCACTCTGCTCCTCCCGTCCGCCCCCAGACGTGACCCTGAGCCCCTGGAGCGGGGACAGCAAGTGCCACCAGCGCCGGGTGCTGACTTACACCATCCCCATCAGCAACCCGCTGGGCCCCAAGAGCGCCTCTGTGGTGGAGACACAGGTGGGCCGGGCGGGGCCGGGTCGGGGAGGGAGGGCAGGCAGGTAGGACTGCGGCGCGGGAGGTCCTGACCCCTCTGCCCTCGCCCCACAGACGCTGTTCCGGCGCGGCCCGCAGGCTGGCGGCTGTGTGGTGGACTCAGAGGTGCTAACTCACGGCATCCCCTACCAGGACTACTTCCACACCGCCCATCGCTACTGCATCCTGGGCCTGGCCCGGAACAAGGCCCGGCTCCGGTGAGCCGCGCCCGCCCCTCGCCCCACCCCCCACCCCAAGAGCGGAAGTGCTGGGCCCCGGGGCCCCTGGACTCTGGGACCCCTCCCCTCCTCATCCCCGCAGAGGGCGGTGTTGAACCGGGAGAGAGGGAGGGACCCCGGGTGAGAGTGAACACGCGTTCATCGGCTGCCAAGCATCTTGTGTGCGCCCAGCGCTGGGGGAGACCAGACAGACCCTGTCCCTGGGGAGCTCGTGTTCTGCTGGGGAACCAGTTAGCACTGGTGCCGGTGCAGGGCGTGCCGTGGCAATAAGGACTAGGGCACAGCGTGGGGCGGGGCTGGGGGCCCTCTGCAGCCCCGGCACAGCTGGGAAGCGGGCGGGAGGGCTTTGATCTCGGGCTCTGTAAACACGGCCTCCCAGCAGGCAGTGCCTGTGCCCACTACAGGGATGCCTGGTGCACAGTATCCCGAAGACCATAGAAAGCATCAATTCACGACGCGTCCATGACACAGGGAGACACCGTGGCTCAAACGGTTATATTCGGGAGCTCTGGAGTCTGAGCGCCTGGGACAAGAAGTCCTTTTAGGGCCACTACCAGCTGTCAGGCCGGGGGGAAGGGTTCTAAGGCTCACACGCCTTTTTAAAAACCAAACTTGCAGCGAGCAGTGAAGAGAACCCGCCTGCCAGCCCGGGATGTGGTCAGCAGCCCCTCTCCCCTGCCCCACCCCCTTCCCGTAGTCCAGCTCCTCTCCCGGGAGAATCAAGGTTGCTCCCGCCTCTCTGCCTTCGGGTAGGGTCTTCATGACAAGGGCTGGCGGACTCACAGGCAGAGGTGACAGACGCTCCTGCCCCCGGGGGCCGGTGCTGGGCGAGCCCCTGCAGACCTGGTCGGTCGCCACCTACGGCGGGGGCCCGCTCGGTGCCAAACGCCCGCCACCAAGCGAGAGCAGGCGCGAGGCGCGCGAGGCCAGCAGGGGTTGGGCCGTTGGACCTCGCCCTTGGGCCTCCGTTGCGATGTCTTCGCGCCCTTGGCTCGCGCACCCTTCCCTCACCCGCCTGGGGCTGAGCGCTGTGCCTCGCCTCGGAGTTGGCAGCCAGGACACCGCTCTGAGGTCCCGGACTCCGCGCCAAGGGACCCCACGGCGCACGCAGCTGCTGTCCGCGGGCAACGGCCTCGGCGAGCTTCATACCCGCCTCCCGGGGCCACCGCGCTCCAGGTCCCCCTGACTGGCCATGCCCACCCGGCAGCTGCTGCACCGCTCCCTGGCCTGTCTTCCACCGGGGTTTCTGTCTCGCTGCTTAGCTTATGCGATCCAGGAGGCTCCAAGCTCCTCAGTGTTGGGCAGGACTCTCAGATGGAGCCAGCACTGGGCACTGGGAACTCCAAGAGGCTCGGCCATTCCGGACAGCTAAGATCTGTCATCCAGGGTGCAACCTGACCCTCCTCCATCACCACCCCGGCGAGAAAGAAGTTCCCCCCATGAGCTCCGTTCCATCCAGAGAACCTAGATGCCGGCCCCAAGAAGACTGAGCGAGCCCTGGGGAGGAGGAAGGGACAGCCGAAGATGGAGGACGGCCAAATAGTGACCCAAGTGTAGAAGCGCCCATCACATGCAGGCAATGGAGTGTGCCATCAGCATCGTCCGGGGAAGCGACCCGATGCTTTTTCCTTGCTCTGGGGGCCTGGGCCTCTGCAGGAAACCTGCATTCCTTCCAACCACCCGGGAGCCACCGGGAGTAAGAAGGCGAAGTTTTCCCCTGTGAGCTCAGGCGTCAGAAGTCGTGCCTTCCCCAGCTCATGGAGCCGGCCCTGCTGGGGGGCTCCTGCCTCTTGTTGTTGTTGTTGTTGTTGTTGTTTTTGACAGGCAGAGTTAGATAGTGAGAGAGAGAGAGAAAGGTCTTCCTTCCGTTGGTTCACCCCCAAAGTGGCCGCTATGGCAGGCGCGCTGCGCTGATCCGAAGCCAGGAGCCAGGTGCTTCTCCTGGTCTCCCATGGGGTGCAGGGCCCAAGCACTTGAGCCATCCTCCACTGCACTCCTGGGCCACAGCAGAGAACTGGACTGGAAGAGGAGCAACCAGGACAGAATCCAGTGCCCCAACTGGTACTAGAACCCAGGGTGCCGGTGCCACAGGCGGAGGATTAGCCTAGTGAGCCGCGGCACCAGCCGGCTCCTGCCTCTTTAGGAGTGGTGCAGGGACTTTGGGATCCAGCCACAATGGGTTCAGAAAGTTTAGCCAAGGAAAAGTTCCTGAAGGCCATTGGCCTGGTTCTCCAACCCCACTGAAGACAGAGGAGAGGAAGGGAGGAAGGCTACAGATGTGCTGTCAAACAAAATCTCCACCCACTCCTGCCAGATGCGGGCTCTGTTAACAAAATTCCTCTGCCCCTGTGCCAACCTCACGCCATATGCTGATCCTGAAATGATGGAATGAGACACTCAATCATTTTTTTTTTCTTTTTGCTGTTCTGGCCATTTCTTTCTTGAAGTTCAGTATTTTTTTTTTAAGAATTCCACTTTCAAGTGGAAATAGAGCCCATTTGAATTCTGGTCCTTTCACTACAAGTCTTTACTCTGATCTTCAAAGTATCTTACTGTCAGGAGAAATTAAAACTCGGATGTGTTCTGATGGACAACCGAAGACCAGAGGAGAAAGCAGCTGTTTCCGTTTTCTCCAAGTCTACCACCCGCAGGACTGAGTCCTCCACCCCTATGGATATGGAGTCCCTCTCTTTTCCTTACAGATTCCTTGAGTTGCTGCCACAAATTCCCGTCTTCACCAGTGAGCAGAGCATGGCCTCTGCAGTCACTGTCACCAGTGCAGCCAGAATCTGTGGACTCGGCCAAGGGTGATTTGGTAAGCCACATGGAAGCCAATCCCCACTCACAGGCACCCACCTTCAGGTCTCCACGGTGACCCCCTGTGAGCTTCCCCCATTCGCCAGGGCCAGGCCAGCTGGAGCAGACACCCCCTACCAAGGCCACCAGTCCACCTGGTTTTATGCTCAGCAGCCCCAGCCAATTTTTAAAATATATTTTAAAAGATTTATTCATTTGAAAGTCAAAGTTACACTAAGAAAGGGAGAGACAGAGCGAATGAGTGAGCTTCCATCCCCTGGTTCATTCCCCAGATGGCTGCAATGGCCCTAAGGCTGGGCCATACTGAGGCCAGGAGCCAGGAGCTTCTTCTAGGTCTCCCACATGGGTGGCAGGGGCCGAAGCTCCTGGGCCATCTTCTGTTGCTTTTCCCAAGTACATCAGCAGGGAGCTGGACGGGAAGTGGAGCAACGGGGACTCCGCCGTTGTCCATGTGGGATGCTGGCATCGTCGTCCCAGGAGGCAGCTTTATGCGCTACACCACAACAGCAGCCCCTTCGTATTCTTTAACTCCTTATCCTCTTTGGGCCTACACTAGTACCTTATTGTTTCAACAATAAGGAATGCAAGTGGCTTCTTGGTACCCCACTACCTTTCCCCAAACCTCTCCCGTCCATCCCAGAAAATCCTTGGAAGATGGCTTCTACTTCACCCTCAGGCATGACCTCTCTGAAGGCGTCTGCTCTGAGCCTGGAACTTCTGACCTGGAACACGTGCGGCCTCCTCTCAGCCGGTCCTCAGAATAAAGCACAGATCCCACGTCTGTTAGATACAGCGAGGCGTAATTGGTGGTGGCCATATCGGTCCTGTGGTTGTTTGCGGAGAGGCTACTCTTCCCCTCCCTCGTCGTTCTGCGTCTGCCTACAAGACGATGAGCCCCTCATGCCAGCACCTGAAAGGGTAGGCACGTGTCAGATGGAATGTCAGGGGCTGTGGCCAGGCCCCTTATTGTAGATAAGGGAAAACCAGGAAGCTTAGGCTAAATTAAAAACAAAAATTAAAGAAAGAAAACTCATCGTGGAAGAAAAGAGACAGAAAGTCAGGTCACTTGCCCCCAACCATTCAGCTTTTCCCACGAAAAGGTCATGCTGCTTAGGGCTCAGCCTGGTACTGCCGGATTTTAAAAGTGAACCAGGAGGTCGTGGGCTTTTCAAAGACGGGTGCATCCTAGCCACCGCACTGTTTTGTGACAAGAAGAAAGCAGGGGTTCCAGCCTCGGCCGCATCAGCCCCTAATGCATCTGCCCCAAGTCGCGGGCGACTTCCGCCCCAGCCAATTTTAAAACCTCCCTTTGAACCAGGAACCACCCCTCGGCTGAAATCCTGGGGTCCTGATGGACAGCAACAGAGAGCTACTCTGCCCGGTGTCCTGTTTTCTGGCCCACCTGCCACGGATTCCACAGTCGCCTTCACTCGAGTAGGCAGCCGCTCTTCAGACTGCGAAGTCAGGGTTGGCTTTGACTCTGATGAAACCATTGTGGATAAGCCACACCCATTTCCCAGTAGGCTGGCTTCGCACCTCCCCCTAAGAGCTTTTCCAGCTCGTTCCCTTTGGGTAACCTGGCAGGCTCCGCACAGTGCCCGACTTAACCCCACTGCAGTGCATGTACCCAGTGACAGCTTATGGTTCTGCGATGACTCAAAGGGGAAACCGTGAGCTGGAACAGAGGAACTGACAAAGGCGATGGCAAGAAGCTGACAGAAAACGGAAGTAGGTGACTGAAAAAGGACCAGAACCATCCTGGCCACTTGGTCTAAATAAACAGATTTGACTGGCTTTGCCAAAATACAGTAAATTTAGTTTTTTTTTAATTTGACAGAGTTAGACAGAGAGAGAGAGACAGAGAGAAAGGTCTTCCTTTTTCCATTGGTTCACCCCCAAAATGGCCGCTACGGCCGGTGCTGCGCTGATCCGAAGCTAGGAGCCAGGTGCTTCCTCCTGGTCTCCCATGCAGGGGAAGGTGCCAAGCACTTGGGCCATCCTCCACTGCCTTCCTGGGCCACAGCAGAGAGCTGGACTGGAAGAGGAGCAACCAAGCCTAGAACCCAGGACCCACATGGGATGCCAGAGCCGCAGGCGGAGGATTAACCAAGTGAGCCACGGCGCCGGCCCCAGTAAATTCAGTTTCTAGTGAAACTCCAGATAACATGCAGAACACCGCTCAGGCACTCATTTATCCATTAGCAAACTTACTGAGTACCGAGGATGCACTTGGGACAATTTTAAGTGCAGCATCGATTACAGAAAGGAAAACTTCCTGCCTTAATCGTGCCTACATCCTAGTTGTAGGGGAGAGCACAAGCAAGGAACGTAATAAAGAAGTAGATTATTTCATAGATCAGCAGTAACCAGTGCCATAGAGAACAAAGCAACTCATGGGGAATTGAGTTTGGGGATGGGGAGAAGCATGGGTTTCAGGTTTCACACTGAATGGACAGGGCAAGCCTCACTAAGGTGAGATTTAAGTGAAGTCTAGAAGGCGGCAGTTGAGTGAGCCACAGAGTTAGTCAGTGGAAGGGCAATCCAGGGAGCAGTCAGTCACGGCAAAGGCCCAAGGGGGGCCGCTTGGTGCCCTCAGGGAATGGTCCTTGAAGCCAACGGGGATGGAACGGAGTCGAGGAGAGGAGGGGGCTCAGAGAGAGGACAGAGCAGAGGCTGTGCAGGCTTTGAAGGAAGCCAGGAGAAAGCTGCCCCCTCCTGAGAGACGGGGATGTGCGATGGGTAGCTGGGGGCAAGCCCGGAAGCGAGGAGAGCCGTCAGGAGGCTGAGGCCGTGGTCCAGAGGAGGGATCGTGGCGGACTCGGCGAGAGTGATGGGGACCCTCTCTGGCTGCTACAGTTTGACTGTGTCCTCCAGATTTCATGCATTGGACACACAGTCCCCTAAGTCATGTGTTCATGGTGTCTGACAGGTGCATCATGGAGAGGTGCGTGGGCCATGAGATTCTGCTTCTTGAATGTCTTAATTCGCTCATGGACTGAGGGAGCCAGGGACTTTGCAATAACAGCAAACTCTCTCTCTAACTTGCTCTATCTCGCCACGTGATGCCTGCCACCATGACACAGGGAAAAGGTCAGGTGGTGAGCAGTCGCCAGTGCACACTCTGGGCCTGCCCAGCCTCCAGACCTGGGAGTCAGACCAACCTCTGTTCCTCATAAATGACCCAGTCTGTGGTGCTCAGCCAGAGCAACAGAATCCCTGAAGTGATCACAGTTACTAAGCACAGAATCGGGTGGATAAATAGTGTTCTTCATCCTCAGTGAGAAAAAATTCAGGTGCATTTCCTGCCTCTCAGAGGTAGCCTGTGTTCAAGCCCCAGTTTGCACGGGGTCTTTACTGGTGCTCCCACCACCCCTGTCTCCCATACCACAGATGGCCCAAGTGCTTGGGCCCCAGCACTCACATTAGAGACCCATATGGAGTTCTAGGCTTCTGGCTTCAGCCAGACCCAGCCTTGGCCACTGGGCCATTTGGGGAGTGAATCAGTAGATGGAAGATTCTCTCTCTCTCTCTCTCTCTCTTTCTTTCTCTCTTTCTCTAACTCTGCCTTTCAAATAAATAAATATTTAAAAAACAAATAGAATTAGATCACTCATCAATCCATCAGAGGACAAGGGCCCACTTGCTGGCTGCAGTCCAGGGTTGATTTCCCCCAATATGCTGCAGGATCACAGTTACTGGAACTCTCGCCTGTGGTGAATGAGATGAGCTACATATGTATGGGGGTAATGCCGGCATCAACAAAGGCTCTTGAACTTGAAAAATACATGAGAAATGGCAACTTTAAGGACTGTATAATTGGTTAGTTTTCTGTAACCTCCATAGAATACCTAAAGAAAACAAATGGTCAGACTTTAAAATAAATGAACTCTGAGAATGTTAGCAAAGCCAGAAAGCTCCCTTGTTTAAGGCATTCTCACCCTGCAGCAAGAGAGCAGGCTTCGCTGAAAACTAATGACGAGGTGCAGTTATAATGCAGTAGAGCTTCTGCACTCCTATTCTGCATTCAATTCACGGCCCTGGCAGGTCTGTCACACTGAAGTCAGTGCCTGATACGGAACGAGTTGCACCTTGAGATTTGGGATGTATTTCAATGGATGCATTTGAAAATACTTGAGGGGCTGGCGCTGTGACGTAACGGGTAAAGCTGCCAACCTGCAGTGCCGGCATCCCATATGGCCGCTGGTTCGAGTCCCGGCTGCTCCACTTCTGATCCACCTCTCTGCTATGGCCTGGGAAAGCAGTAGAAGATGGCCCAAGTCCTTGGGGCCCTGCACTCATGTGGGAGACCCGGAAGAAGATCCTGGCTCCTGCCTTCAGACCGTCACAGCTCCGGCCATTGTGGCCAACTGGGAAGTGAACCAGTGGATGGAAGACCTCCCTCTCTCTCTCTCTCTCCCTCTCCTTCTCTATGTAACTCTGACTTTCAAATAAATAAATAATTCTAAAAAAAGAAAAGAAAATATTTGCACTCCATGATACTGGGCTAACAGATGTGGTCACCACCTCCTTTTGGGAGGACAGGGGCCTCCCTTTATCTGGAGACCATCTAGAAGCCTCACCTAAGACAGAGGCTTCCCAAGATACTGAGGGTTCTTTCTGAGGACAGCTCATGCCTGCCTTACGAAGCAGAGTGGGAGAGTGTGGAAAACGGGAAGAATGTGTAGGTGAAAGAGGAGAGGAGGGAGGGAGAGAGAGGGAGAGAGAGAGAGAAGTGGGAGGGAGGCAGGAAGGGCAGGAGGGGGCGGGGAAGAGAGGGGAATGCTAGCTGCCAAGCACTGAGCAGTATAATTGGCACCACCACTGCCGGACATCCGGGTACAACAACGTGGGGACCCGGCTGCTTACCGTGGCCTGATCAGGCTGAGCATCTTCATTTCCCCTTAGAATTTCCCCGTCACTCTCTGCAAAGTGCTATAAAGGAGCACAGCCCAGGTGACCCAATCTTGCTGATGCCTTCATCTCTATTAGTTTGTGCAGAGATGTTTTCCCCGACAGGAAAAGGACCGAAGCTGCCTCTCCCTGCGTCACTTTATGTCACGGTGTCATTTATTCTCCAATTCAGTGAGGACAGATCCGTGCAGGAACCATCACCGGTGCCAAACTGAAGATACAGCCAACGCAGGAGGGACCTGAGGTTCACCAGGAAGTCAGCTGGGAGATCATGAGTCATGTTTACACGTTCCCCAGATGTCCTGGGTGCTGGCATTACGCAGGTCTGTGAAGTTCCGCGGGTGAGAGTAACAGCACAGAGGACATTCCCGTTCCCCTCAGCACCTGTGAGTTTACCTTCAGCTTCAGATGAACACAGTATCTTATACACAACAGGCTCCTCCCTCCAGTGGCTGGATCTCTGAAAAAAGACTAAAATCCATTCAAATGCAATAATAAAAAAAATGTAGTGTCATCATTCAAACAGAAAAGGACGCATATTAAAAATACAAGGCGGGGCCGGCACTGTGGTGCAGTGGGCTAAGCCACAGCCTGCAGGGCCAGCATCCCATATGGGTGCCAGTTCTAGACCTAGCTGCTCCACTTCTGATCCAGCTCCCTACTGATGTGCCTGGGAAAACTCCAGAAGATGGCCCAAGTCCTTGGGCCCCGCACCCATGCAGGAGACGTGGAAGAAGATCCTGGCTCCTGGCTTCGGATCAGTTTAGCTCCAGTTGTTGTGGCCATTTGAGGAGTGAACCAGCGGATGGAAGATCTCTCTCTCTCTCTCTCTTTCTCTCTCTCTTTCTCTCTGCCTCTCTGTAACTCTTTCAAATAAGTAAATCTTTTTTTTTTAAATATTCCTTCTTGCATGAAGAAGTCTATATTAAATCCTTCAACTGATTGGATATGGCCCACCCCAAATCATAAAGGCTAATGTGCTTTACTCAAAGACCATTGATTTCAACGTTAATCTTATCCGAAAAATGCCTTTGCAGAAGCAGCCAAAATATTATCTGGCCAATTACAAAATCAACATGAAGGGAGCAGGCAGCAAGCCCTCTCCCTGTAGTTTCCAGGTTAACGGAGTTCAGAGGGAGATGAGCAGTCTACACGTGCACAGCCGCTGTACCTGGGAAAGCCTGCAGAACACAGCGGATGGACACGCGTGCAGAGCTGGGAATCAATTCCAAGGCCAAAGCCTGCTGCTACCATCAAGCAGAATCCTATTCCGTCCCCAAATGTTATTGAGCTGACAACAGGAGACAGTGTGATGTGGGCTTAATAAAAGCTGGGTTGGAAGGCAAAGTGAATCTTACATTTGCCTGAATTCGGCTTTACTGCTACATAAACAAAAAGAACTACGCCGTAAAAGCTCCAGGCAATTCAGAGAAATGTTACTGGAAAAGTAATCAAGAAGAGTAAAAATCCTGTAATGCATGGTAGGACAGAAAGATACATGTCTTTTAAATTTAGGTAATAGTTGTTTAATTAGCCTGATTGTATTTATTTTCTTTTTCAAAGAAAATCTTTTTTTTAATATTTTTCATTTATTCATTTGAGAGGTAGAGTTACAGAGAGAGGGAGAGACAGAGAAAGGGCTTCCATCTGCTGGTTCACTCCCCAGATGGCCGCAATGGCTGGAGCTGAACTGATCCAAAGCCAGGAGCCAGGAGCTTCTTCCGGGTCTCCCACATGGGTACAGGGGCCCAAGGAGTTGGGCCATCTTCTACTGCTTTCCCAGGCCATAGCAGAGAGCTGGATCAGAAGTGGAGCAGCCAGGATTCAAACAGGTGTCCATATGAGATGCCAGCGCCAGCCCCTCAAGAAAAATCTTAAGACTACACAACACTATAGCCTATAATTGTATTTTTATTTTTTAAAGATTTATTTATTTACTTGAAAGTCAGAATTATACAGAGAGCAAAGGAGAGGCAGAGAGAGAGAGAGAGAGAGAGAGAAAGGTCTTCCATCCGCTGGTTCACTCCCCAGTTGGCCACAATGGCCGGAGCCACGCTGATCTGAAGCCAGGAGCCAGGAGCTTCTTCCAGGTCTCCCACGTGGGTGCAGGGGCCCAAGGACTTGGGCCATCTTCCTCTGCTTTCCCTAGCAGTGAGCTGGATTGGAAGTGGAGCAGCCGGGACTAGAACCGGCGTCCATATGGGATGCCGGCACTTCAGGCTAGGGCGTTAACCCGCTACGCCACAGCGTCGGCCCCTAGCCTATAATTTTAATATCTAATAAAAATTAAATCGCTTTATCAGAGGGCGGCTACATTTCCCTCACATGTTTAGTCTATTATTAGCAATACCAGGTTACTTTACGCCTATTAATATTTTATTGAATAATATAAGTTATTTTGAATAGCTACCATATTTTCACGTTAACGTCAGGACACATTTTAGTACCTATTACAGGATTTTTCGTTATCTCCCAGCTCCGGGTTCCACGGCCAGCGCTACCGGCGCTCCTGCGCCTGCGCACTCCCAGTCCCCGGGGCGCCGGGTGGGCAGTCCTTGCGCGGCCGTTTTACGCCTCTGGACTACATTTCCCAAAGGCCACTGAGGCCAGGCCAATTTAGCTTGGACTACATTTCCCAGAGGCCACCGGGGACAACTAGGACCCCGGATCCCACTGCCAGTTTTTCGTTACTGTAGCCGGGCAGCGAACTTAGGCTAAGGCAGTGCGTGTTCTCTGGGGAAGGGCTTTGCGGACTCCGACCAACCCCACGGGGTAACCAGGGCTGGAGTGAAGAAGACAACAATAATGGGAGGAACTGGGGGACCTCTGCGGACGTGCGCCGGCGCGGGACCCGGACCCCAACAGGCGGCGAGCGCGAGGGCAGGGAGGCTCCGTGGGCTCTGGCGGGGTCTCAGGCGCGGGGGTCGTTGCGTGCGCTCGTGCGCGTGCCCGCGAGGACTGGGTGCCCCTGCGTCCGTTAGCTGTGGAGGTGCCGCCGTGACCTAGGCCTCGGGCTCGGCTTCCAGCCGCCGCGCGGGTCCGCACCGGGCAGTGGGCCCGCGCCAGGGCGGTTACCAAGCCTTCCGGTGATGTTCTCCCGCAGGAGACGCAGAACTACGATTGCACGAGTTCTCTGTCGTGTGTGTGTGTGTTTATCCAGTCACTCCTGTATTTGAGAGAGCGAGGGAGACAGACAGGTCCCCCTTCCGCGGGCGCGCTCCCCAGATGCCCTCAACGGCCAGGCGTGGGCCAGGCCGGAGCCTGGAGCCCGCGCTGCCTCCCAGGGGTGCGCCAGCAGGGAGCCGGTCTGGGTGGCCTCGGGCTGCGGGATGCGGTGTCCCGGCACCGTGCTGACCGCAGCTGACCTTTCTGAGCCAGAGGGGTCTTCAGGGGACCTCCCCCGCGGAGACTGCGCCTCCTGCCAGGCTGGGAGCTTGGGGAAGCAGCGCCCGGCTCCCTTTCTCTCCCGTTGGTTCTGGATATGAGGCTGTGCTGGGAATGGCCGTGCGCACGATCAGAGCTCAAGACCGTGCAGCTGGCTAGGTCAGGGACGCGCACGTGATGGACTGGTGGGCGGGGAATAGGGTTAGTCCTGAGAAGGGGTACCCGTGTGAGCCCGAGATGTGCACAGTTACGGGCAGTGGTAGTCAAGAAGTGTTTAAGTTCTTTAGGAATCCCATCTAAATATGAGATTTTCTAAGATATTTTGCAAGGTTCTTGTGGGCAATATTTTGGTTATTTAGTGAAGGAGAACAGGGGTTTGGCAAGTTTGTGAGCATCTTTTCTGTAGGCAAGATTCCGTCCACTTTGCATTCATTCTCTTATTCTTATAACCACCACTTAGCCAGAGTTATGTCTTCCAGAGAAGACTCTTGTTAGTGAATGAGCCTAATTATATTGATAAAGTACAATTAATGGATGTGCATATGAAATTTCTGAAGGCAGAGTTAATACAGACTTGTGAAAAAAATGAGTAACCTGAAGATAGAATAGTTATTTAGGGATGCATTCTCTCCCTCTTTCTTGCTAGCTTGTGACTAGGGTTCTGTTTTGTGTCTAGAATAGATTCACACTAACCACTTATGTTAGGAAGCAAAAGACTCTTAATTCTTAGTTTAAAAAGGAGGCTGTGGACTTCATACCATGCGCATGCGTGCTCCAGGAAGAGAAGAGCACGCCCTGAGCCTCCTGTAGTCTGAAAAAGACCCTCGAGGCTGGCGTGGCTCAGCAGGCTAGGCCACCACTTGCGATGCTGACGTCCTGTGTTGGAGTACCTGCTGCACCTGCAAAAGTAGCAGAAGATGGTCCGAGTGCTTGGGCCCCTGCCATCTGTATGGGAGACCCGGATGGATGGAATTCCTGGTTCCTGGCTTTGGTCTGGCTCAGACCTGGCTGTTGCCACCATTTGAAGAGTGAACCAATAGGTGGAAGATCTCTTTCTCTCTCTGCTTCTCCCTCTCCCTCTCTCTCTCCTTCTGACATTCTGCCTTTCAAATAAATAAATCATTGAAAAATTTTATTATCTCTTAAGGATTATAGCAGTGTTATGTAAAAGCTGTTAGTGCAGGTAAAAGGACTTCTAGAGACCTGTTGTACAAATTACTTTCCCAGTGACAAACTTTGATATTTCCAGCCATCATATCAGAGTGGGGCCTCTTTAGTGTGGGAGAAATTCAAGTGTCAATTCAAGTGTCAGTCTTTTCTGCTTTTTTTTAAGAATGATTTTTTAAAAAATTATTTATTTGAAAGGCAGTTAGAGAGAGGCAGAGAGAGAGAAAAAAAAAGGTCTTCCATCCACTGGTTCACTCCCCAAATGGCTGCAATGGCTGGAGCGGAGCCGATCCAAAGCCAGGAGCTTCTTTGGGGTCTCTGTGGGTGCAGGGGCCCAAGCACAGGGCCATCTTCCACTGCTTTCCCAGGCCATCGCAGAGAGCTGGATCGGAAGTGGAGCAGCTGGACTCAAACTGGCACCTTATACAAGATGCTGGCACTGCAGGAGGCGACTTTACCCACTACACCACAGTGTCAGCCCTGTAGAACGATATTCTTAAGGCTGCTTTCTAAATTTTGTGCTTAAAATTATAATAAAGCATGCCAGAGAGATGTGTCCACAAAGAATAGAAGCAACGTTCTTCTTTTGTAAAAATGAAATAAAGGGCATGTAATGTTCTTCATATAATAACTTCAATAATAACAGCTAGCTCATGTTATACAATTCTTCTATTAAGTGTTTTCTGTGGGTTTTCTTACTCTTCAAGAGAACCATATGTAGTGACTGGTGTTCTTAACCCTGTATTAGTGATGAGAAAATTGAGCCTGAGCGAGTTCTTCTATTTTCTCCACTTGTCCTGTCTTGGCTGACCTCACCCTCTCCTGGCACCATGAAAAAAGTTCTGGCTTGGGTGATATGAACTGTTTTTCAACATCCAGAGTGTGAGGGTGGAACGAGGAGAATCTGTCAAGGAGAGCCATGGAGCCCAGTGTCAGACGTAGATCAGCCTCCTCCAGGGGGACCTGGCCGGAACCCTGCAGGCGTCAGCCTCCTCCAGAGGGGCCTGGCAGGAACACTGCAGGCCTCAGCCTCCTCCAGAGGGGCCTGGCCGGAACACTGCAGGCGTTTGCAATTCTGCCTCCAGGAAGAGGTCTGCCCTGCGTGCAGCTGTGAGCAGCTGGGTTCCGTGGGCTTCGACCCCCCCACTCGTCCCAGATTTTGTCTGCAGGTGGTCGTAGCCTGTAAGGAGGCTGACAGGGAGGGACGAGGAGGTTTATTGGCTTTCGTCATCTGTGGACATCGAAGCCTCCTTTTCTTCTCCCAGCTTGGGTTTCCCAGAGTCTGATAGAACTCCAACAGAGACGGATTGGTTCTCACATTCCTAAAGGCATGGCTCACGTAAGTCGGTGTTTCTCCTTGAAATGCTGGGATTTGTAGGTTACATAAGTATTTTTCATGAATTAGCCTGAAGTGTTCTGCCTAAGACGGCACCATCTAATCACCTACCTCTTGAATTCCTCCTGTTTGGAGGAATGATGCCAAGTACCTGTTTCCTCCTTATGAGACTGTTTTTTTCTAACTGGCGTTCATGCATTCATTGAGTAAATTACAGAGCAGGTACGATGCAGGATGTCTTGCCGGGGGGCTACCATAGGGCAGTGAAGGAGTGAAATGTCCTAGAAAATTGTTTAAGCTCCCCGGGCAGTCTGTGGCTGGGGAGTTAAGAGCCATGGGCTTCATCTGATGGCTTCATTGGACCACACGTCAGACGATTTGGAATTCCCCAGGGACCTGATAAGATGACTGATCACCTTGTTAATAAGATGAGATCTCATGTCAAAGTGCCAGTTTGCGTTCCAGCTGTTCTGCTTCTGATCTAGCTCCCTGCTGATGTGCCTGGGAAAGCAGTGGATCATAGTCCAAGTTTTTGGGCCCTGCCCCCTACATGGGAGACCCTGCATGGAGTTCCAAGTTCCAGGCTTTGGCCATTTTAGCCGTTTGGGGAGTGAATCAGGGAATGAATGCTTTCTCTCTTTCCTCTCTCTATTACTGTGCCTTTCAAATAAATAAATAATCTTAAAAAAAAAAAAAAAGCAGGGGCACCAGTTTGAGTCCCCACTAATCCATGTCCGATCCAGCTCTCTGCTATGGCCTGGGAAAGCAGTAGAAGATGGCCCAAGTCCTTGGGCCCCTGCACCCATGTGAAAGACCTGGCTCCTGGCTTCGGATTGGCGCAGCTCCAGCTGTTTCAGCCAACTGGGGAGTGAACCAGCGGATGGAAGACCTCTCTCTCTCTGCCTCTCCTCTCTCTGTGTAACTCTGACTTTCATATAAATAAATAAATAAATCTTTTTTAAAAAAAGCAGGAAGAAGTGTTGAGAAAGGGATACCAAATAACAATGTGAAAGTATTTTCTTAGACTGACAGAATTAGACCAAGCTGAGACATTTGGTTCAGTGTATATTTACAAAGATGAAATAATTCGCCAACTCGTACTCCCATTCTTAAGATGACTTTTAGGCCAGTTATGGAACTCCATCAGATTCCCAGCTCGGTGGCAGAGACCCAACGACTTGGGCCATCACCTGCTGCCTCCCACAGTGTACATTAGCAAGAAGCTAGAATTGGAAGTGGAGCTGGTACTAGAACTCAGGTGTTCTGATACAGGGTGTAGACATTGCAAAGTGGTGTCTTACCGCTTCGCCAAATATCCATCCCAATTTTTTTACCCACTTTGTTGAGCTATTACTGACATACAAAAAGCTGTACATATTTAATTAATATAATTTGAAGAGTTTAGGAACCCATGAATCTGATATTTTCCTTCCTTTTTGGCACAAGATATCTGAACTTTACCTGTACCTTCTCTGTCTCACTCTAGACATTGTTTCAAGGATTCCCTCATTCATATTAGTGGATTGACAATGATTGCCCTTTAGTATCCTGATTTAACTTATTTTTGTCCAATGATTTTGTTTGTTGCTTGTTATCAGCCAATTCCTTCTGTATATCAATGGGTTATAGTTTTGTGCTGATTGACATGGGTTGGGCCCACTCTTGAAGAATGTATTAATGTGTACTGCTTGTAACAAACTATGCTTGTAATAAACTATCATAGACTTAGTAGCTTAAAACCACCCTCAATTGTAGTTCTATAGAGTAGAAGTCCAGTGCAGCATAGCCAAGTCAAGATATCAACTACAGCTGGCATTGTGGCGTACATGTTGAGCTGCTGCTTGTTATACAAGCATCCCATATTGGAGCTTAAAGTCCCAGCTGCTCACTTCTGATTCAATTCCATTAATGTGCATAGGAAGGCAGCAGAGAGTGGCCCAATTGCTTGGGACCCTGCTACCCATGTGGGAAACCCAGCTGGAGTCACTAGCTCCTGTCTTTGGCCTGGCCCAGACCTGGCTGTAGCAGCCATTTAGGGAGTGAACCAGTGGATAGAAGATCTGTGTTCCTCCCCTTCTGCCTGTCACTCTGCCTTTCAAATAAGTTAATTAAGTAAATATGTGGAGAAAAAACTGATATCAACCATAGCTGCTGTTCTTTGGGGCTCAGGGTCCTCTTCCGAGCTCACCGGTTACTGGCAGAATTTATCTCTGTCTGGCAGGAGCCATCCTTCTCATGCTGTGACTATCCTGACTTCCCTTCTGCTAAATCTCTCTGACTTCTTGCACCCCCAGCAAGGAAAAAGCTCTGCTTTGAGGGCCC